AGAATTTTAATGCATTTCTAATCTGATTATCAGACAATGTAAAGAATTATTAGCTTTTTAGGGGATTATTAGATATCATCCCCCAAACTTAGGTTATTCTGCCTTTCTATAAGGCGTACAAATACAGACGAAGATTTGGAGGTTTTTTTTTTTTTTTCCTCGAAGTGCAAAATAACAAGCTGTTGGCTCTTTAAAAGGTTTTGTTAGTGATATATTCTAAGAAAGCAAGCCAGAATGGAATCCACTATTTTAAAATTGGCTTTGAATTACATATATTTGCTAGTTTTCTTATTTCTGTGTTCATTTCTGGAAAATTCTTGGTGCACTAATATATTTTAATATGGTCATCTGTTTTGAAGTGTCAAATTTGAAGATTATTTGAATAGTCTTTAAAAATTGTTTCTTATAATGCTTTAGAACATTTCCATTCTGTAAGTGGTATTAATGATAGTAACATTTAATTGTGATTGTAGTGTGTTGGCTGGTAGAGTCTCTTAAATATTAGAAAACCTGTGAGCTCCATTCAGGAGTGTATTTTGTTCATCTTTGTGCCCCTAAAATATTCATTGAATGAGTGAATATGAAGGGGTCAAGATTGGTGGTTGGAGTTATGAGAAATTAAGCAGTAAACATTAACGAGCAGGTTGAATTGGCCACTATAGACATATCCAAGGAAAGGTGAAGAGAGTAGTATGTAACATGGAGGATCAAAGTGTAATAAGGATAATGAAGTAGGCTCTCGCCTTAGGACAACTGTAGTCACTGCCTGGGGAAACACACCATGTATGTTACAGCCACTCAACCCTTCCTGTCAGACTCCCCAGGCTTAAAGTAGCCTTAGGATTTCTGACTAAAAAGCCTTTTTTCAGGATTTTCTGGCAAGAGGATCTTAACCAGACAAAGGCTGAAAATGATTTGAATGCTCTCTCCCTCTTCCTCCCCTCCTTTGTTATTTGTTTGTGTGGAGGGACATGGTCTCACTATTGCCCAGGCTGGCCTTCACTCCTGGGGTCAAGCCATCTCCCATCTTGCCTCCTGAGTGGCTGGTTGTACAGGTGCATGTCACACTGTACCTGGCTTGTTTTTATTTTTAAATTGGGGTCACTGGAGATACTGTTCACCTTTTTAAGTATACAGTTTGATGAGTTTACAAATGCATACTGTTAGGTAAATCTGGAAGTAGAATGTGTCCATCACTAAAAAGTTCCCCTAGCCGGCCATGATGGTGCATGCCTATAATCCCAGCACTTGGGAGGCTGAGGCAGGAAGATTGCTGTTAGTTCAAGGCCAGACTGGGCCACTTAGTGAGTTCAAGACCACCCTGAGCTGCATAGCATGACCCTGTCTAAAAATAATAAATAAAAAAAATTTTTTATATTCCCTTGTACCCTTTAATCTCCTACCTTTAGCTACTAGCAGCCACTGACTAGATTTGTCCCTACAGTTTGCTTCTTCCAGAATATCATATATGTCACATGTCACATTTTATGTCTGGCTTCTGCCACTTAACAAAATACCCAAGTGATTCATCTATGATGTTGCATATATTTCTCCTTTTCACTTCTGAGAAGTCGTCCCATTGTGTAAATGTGCACCACAAATTGTTCACTGTTCATTTACCGCACACATTTGGGTTATTTCCAGGGTTTAAGAGTTATTAATAACTCTGCTGAAACCATCAGATAACAGGTTTTTTGGGGGTTTTTTGGGGGAGGGTACCAGGGTTCAAACTTGGGTCCTTGCGCTTGCACAGCAGGTGGGGAAACCACTGAGCTAAATCCCCGGCCCCAGATAACAGGTTTTTATGGAAATAGGTGTTCATTTTCCATGAGTAGTTACATTTGTTAAGAATCTATTTTCAAGAGTCTATTGAAGAGTCTATTGAAGGTTGTATACTAAATGTATATTTAACTTAATAAGAGATTACCAAAATGTTTCATAGGTTAGCTCTTACATTTAGTTTTGTGGTCCATTGATTTTTACCCATCATGTGGATCTATTTCTTTTGGGTTATTGTCAAGACAGATAATTTAAGGCGTAATTAAGCCTGAGTGGATTTCAGTCTTGCCTTTAACACTTACTGCCTTGGGCAAATTATTTCATCTCTGTATCTCTGTTTCCTCCTCTGAAAAACAGTGATAGTAATAATTACCTCACAGGATTCTTGCAAGACTAATTGAAGGAATACATTTAAAGCTCTTAGAAAAATACAAGACATATGGTAAATTTCATTAAATGTTAACTATGGTTATTTTGCCAATCTGATAGATGAAAGATGGTATTTAGTGTTATTTTAATGTAATTTCTACAACACTGTGGAGTTATATAATGTTCCTTGTATATAAAGTTGGCAATCAAAGTACAGAGAATGAGTATTTTACACATATAGGTTGGGACATAATATCACATTGGGGATAGATTCTAATCTCAGCTCCACCACTTCTTGTATGACCTTGAGCAAGTTATTTTATCACATGGATTTTAGTTTCCTCATCTGTAAATTGGGTGTGGCAGTCACTGTTTACTAGAGAAACATATAATGCAAGATGTACAAATATATATATATTTATATATATATATATGAGTTTACAAGATTGGCTTTACAGTGGCTACCCACAGAGTCAGATGAGGAAGAGTGCAGAGGGTCCGTCTGCACACTGGAGACGAAGGATCCAGTCGAAGGTCTGGAGCTCACTGCAGTGTCCCATGTAAGTCCGTATCAGCAGGCTAATGGGTCTGTGATGGAAGGCTGAAGAGTCTACACTGGAAGTGGAAGGATCTGCGCCTGAAGCAGAAGGATCTGCACCAGAAGCTGAAAGATCTGCACCAGAAGCTGAAGGATCTGCACCGGAAGCCAGGACATGACCGCAAAGGCAAAGACTAGAGTGCCTCCAAAGAAACAGAAGTAGATCCATCCTTCTTCATTTCCCTTTTACACTATCCAGGCGACAAGCTCCTCTAGGGTGGGTTTTCCACACCCTGGAGTGTGGAATTGCTGAGCCAATTTAGTTGAGCTTCTCTTACTCACATTGACACGATCAACATCACACTAGGAATAACACTAGTACCTTAATTGATAGGGTAGTGGTTGGGGGGCGGTTAATGAGTTACTGCATATAAAGTCCGGGCTCAATAAAAGTGAGCTACTTCCATCTTTATCATCCTTTTGGTTGTCATTTTTATAATCCATAATCATAATTTTTCCAGAGTCATATAAAGTAAATCAGGACCGTAGATGCACCATTTGCCTTCCTAGTTACAGGAATACTGACAGGCTTACTTATTTTCTAATAAACTGATAACCAAGTAGATTTTTTACTATATATGTTATACAGTATTTCTTTTTTTAGAAAGTGTGTAGGTTTAGCTGTTTTAGGTCCTTAGTTCTTCAGTACATCTGTTTTTAACTATAATCTTAAATCTTCTCTTTAAGAGATGATGTTGCATGCCTCTATTCCCACCAAGAGAGTAACCTAATACTTGCTCTCCTCTTAACAGCTAGTGGCATCACAGGCTCCTCCAGTCCCTAGCCACTACCTCACTCAACCCCACCCCAGCTCCTACAAGGCCCAGCCCAGCTCCTATAAGAAGCGCTCCCCATCCCGGCCATATAGCTTTTGTCTCTCCTTTGTTCAGAGACAGCCCAGCAGATCACCCCTGTAATAAAGGCTTGTGGCCTGGAAAAAAAAGAGAGATGATGTTGTAGATTTTTAATCCAGTCATTTAGGCCTAAGAAAAATTTGTTAAATCTATCTTAGTGTTCAGAATTATATTGGGCCCCTACTTTTCAATAATGCATACTCCTGGAAAATTGGTTTTGTAAGACAGATTTTTACACAAGGTAAGGTAGGCAGCAAATGGGTATGAGTTTATGTACCTAAACACATTTGGTTCTTTTTTGGCAGAAATAAATTGAAAAAATAGTCAGAAATGTAGATGGCTATTAGCTATGTTGAAAGTGTAAAGCATTATAAAGACTTCCTCAGAGAGCTGGTATAACCATATGTGAAGGATGGGCAGCAAAAAGGTTTGTGATTGATATGTTCCTTCTTTTTTTCTCGGTTCCCTCTTAGTCATTCGGTCATTGTTCAGTCATTTTTAAGTGTTTGCTCAGTGCTGAGTACTCAGCTGGTTCTGGAGATAGAAAAGTAAATGCACCATGCCCGTGTCTTATGGGACTCACAGTCTGGTGAGCAGATGGACAGACTGCAACGACAGCGTCTTCCAAGTGCTCTGTAGGAGCATGAAGAAGTCTCTTGACAGTCTGGAAGCAACTAATATGATCTGCAGGTGTCCAGGACCCCCTGGAAGAAGTGATATCTGCCCTAGACCTTGAAAGATAAAGTCAAAAATGGAGGACTGGGCATGGAGCTCAGTGGAAGGGCACTTGGGTAGCATGCTCAAGCCCCAGGTTAGATTTCCAGCTCCTCGTACAAAAAAGACCCTGGAGAGTTCATTCTAACCTATTTCTTGCCACTTTGTTTCTTACACCCACGTGGTACTCTAGCTACCAGTCTCCTCAAAGCACAGCATCCTGCACATCCTGTTGTGCCCTTTGTGTGTGAAGGAAATGCTCTTGTGCCACCTCTGCATTGCAAAACTCAAGCCACACTTCAAGGCTCTGCCTCAGTCTTACCCTTTTCTCTTAGCTCACTCCTGATGCTTCTGACTTAGAATCAGCACAGCTTTTATTGTACATACTTCTGCTTAAGATTTTTCACAGGTTAACACCATAAATGTGATAATTATTTTTTAGGTATGAATTCTTTGAGGACAAAAATAGTGTTTTATTCATCTTTTTATTGTCATTGTTTAGCTTGTTCCATTGAGTGGTATACAGGAATTATTCAGTAGATGTTGAGTGAATGAGTGAAAGCTTTAGGTTATGTTATATAAGGATCATAGAGTTCTATACTTTATGGTACTCAGACATTAAATACTTCATTAAATGGATACTTATGGTTCATATTTGCATACTTTGTCTTTCACATGTGTTTTAGGAGGGCCAAACATGTGGGCTATTACCTCTGAAGAACGCAGTAAGCATGACAAACAATTTGATAACCTCAAGCCTTCAGGAGGTTACATAACAGGTTTGTGCTTATTGTTTGTTACATTTTATTGTAAATCATGTTCCTTTCCATAAATCTTAAAATTATCTTTAACTGCTATCAAATTTGTATTAAGTGATAAAATTTGTATCAAATAGAATTAAAGTAAAAATACTGGGTCCGGGGATTTAGCTCAGTGGTGCTGCCGCCTGCCTTGCAAGTGCAAGGTCCTGAGTTTGATCCCCAGTATGAAAAAAAAAACCTAAAAATACTCTACTATCTTATTTTTCCTCAAATTTTTTTTTTTTTTTTACATATATCCTGTACTTTATTGCTGGTTCACACTGACATAGACAGATGAAAAGACAATTCTGAAATGTAACGTATTATAGCAAAAAAAATTGGCTGGAAGAGAGATGAAGCAACATTGGTCATGAGTTGATCATTCCTAAAGCTGAATGATAGGTACAAGGGAGTTCATTATTCTAGTCTCTTTTTTGTGTATGTTTGAAATTTTTCCAACCTCAAACTATCTTAATTTGTTATTTTGAGTTTGGCATATGGAAGATCTTTGCTTGTATACTAAATGGTAGTCAAGAATTTCTATTTGATTGTGTTGTTCATGTTTTTTTAATATTTTATCTAGAAGTTTTCAATTTAATTTTTGTATCAGATGCATTTCATGGGAAATAATCTAGACTGCTCCTCCCTTCAAATCTGTTTCAAGATACTAGCTCTCTATCTTTGGACTTTGCCAAGAACTGATTGTTGATGCTAGCCCTTGTTTTGCACAAAGACTACCAGATCCAAAAAGGAATTAATTTAGGTGTATCTTTCAAAGTTTTTTCTAGAAATGAAATTTTATCTCTGTGCCAAAGCCTCTTAGTACTTTGTATGTAGTGATTATTATGATAATAACTATACTAAATAAACTAAAAGCAGAAATTCCATTTGACCCCCTTCCTAGATGTCTTCCCAGAAGAGTTAAAAGCATCATATTTCAGGAAGACATGTATGCCCATGTTCAGAGTAGTGCCATTTATAATGCTAGGTCTTAGAAACAGCACATATGTCCATCAACAGATAAATGGATAAGGAAACTGTGATATTTTTATGTAATGGAGTATTATGCTACCATTAAGAAAGATAAACTTGGGGCTGGGGTATTAGCTCAGTGGTTCCACCGCCTGCCTTGTAAGCACAAGGACCCGAGTTCAATCCCCAGTACCAAAAAAAAAAAAAAGAAAGAAAGATAAACTTGAAGCATTCGTAGGTAAATGGATGCAACTGAAGAACATAGTTAATTGCAATAAGTCAGACACAAGATCAAATATCACATGGGTTTCTCTTACATGAGAAATTTTATGGAGAAAGAGAGAGAGAAAGCACAAAATAGGAGATTAAGAAATAGGGAGAAGTTCAAATACTTCCCAAAATTACATATTCTACTTTAAAATATTTCAATATCTATGCTAATTTGTTTCTTTTATACTGATAGTTTATCTTAGTTTGTTGAAAAGAAAGTTTGTATTATTATCAATATTTCAATATCTATGCTAATTTGTTTCATTTATACTGATAGTTTATCTTAGTTTGTTGAAAAGAAAGTTTATATTATTATCTGGTTTTTTGTTTTTGGTTTTGTTTTTTGGTACTGGGGAATGAACTTGGGTCCTTGTGCTTGCGCAGGCAGCAAAACCACTGAGCTAAATCCCCAGCCCTATCTGTTTCTTTTTTGTAAGAATCTTTTTGGTTTATGTCTTGTACCAAGTACTTTGAAAATAACAATACACAGTGTAATAACTATCGTTATTCTCATTATTTGGTTATGAAAATTTGTTTTATTTTTTATAAAATAAAAGAAGGTAACTTTCAGTTATAAGTAAGTTCTGGGAAGCTAATGTACACTAAAGTGACTAGTTTGTAGTTACAGGTAACTACATAATGTATTTATGTATTATAAATTTGAAATACGCTATGAGGATAAATCTTAAATGTTCTCACCACAAAAAATAAAAGACAACTATGTGAGGTAAACAAACTATTCTACTTACCAAATTTGTACTATGTGCCTGTTGCTAGGCTAAAAGCATTATCTCATTTTATCTTGGCAACAGCCCTGAGAGGTTGACACTGTTGTGTAGATTTACAGATGGTAGAACTGAGACTTTAAAGAGATTATGGAACTTGCCTAAGGTTATGAAGATGATTAGTACTGATTCCAGCTTTGAAGTCTTTCAGCCTGATTTTGGAATCCATTCAATATGGAATAGTTTGATGTACCTGTTATCAAGATTTGATTGTTTTGATTACAAGTTAATAGCCTCTTGTTGTTCATGGACATGGCAGAAGACTTAGATTCCGGAGTCAGACATCAAGGACTTTATCAAATAGCACTGGTGTGTTTCTGTCACCTTCCTTCCTTCTTGAATGATGCACAGCACTCGGAAAGATGCTGCATGTGACAGAGCTGCCTTACAGGAGAGGAACTGGGCTTGGGAAACCTGCCGTTTTGTAGTGAGCAGAAAAGCAAATTTGTTCTTTGTACTGGGCATAGAGGAGTTAGGGTTCTGCATTCTTGGCATCCATAGCAGGACACACAGGGGTAGGAGGAAGCCTACGGAAGACTGTGTGTTCTAACAGTTGGTACTGCTTATATAGAACTCTTTTAGGAAGTTATATTTTATACACACACACACACACACACACACACACTCACTCACACACACACACACGTCTGTGGGGTACTGGGGACTAAACCCAAGGCCTCACATATGCTAGGCAAGTACTCTACTACTGAACTACATTCCCAGCCCTATAAATTTTATTAAATGAGAATATTATCAAGTAAGATCCCCAATTGTGGAATTTATTATGAAATAATCTTTCATTACCCCATTAATAACATGACTTCAGTTGTGATTCATGTTCTGAAACATCTAAGCCGTATTAAAGGAATGTAATTTCATGTGACTTTCTACTTCATTTATTCTTTACTGATTAGAATTTAAATTATAATAAAACTAATACATGGCCATTATTATAATTATTATTCAAGGCATTGGAGTACTTTCATTTACTAATGTACTACTTGGTTTTTGCTTTTATTACCCTCAGGTGATCAAGCACGTACTTTTTTCTTACAATCGGGTCTGCCGGCTCCTGTTTTAGCTGAAATATGGTAAAATGTTTTCTTTTATACATGTACTTAAATTTCTGATGGACTGTTGTTGTTTTTTTAAATAATACAGTGTCAACAAAAATTATTTTTATTTATAGTCTTGTGAGAATATTTCTTCAGCTTTTTGGAAAATTAACTTCATTTAGCAAATGATTGAGAATAAATAATTGGAGCTCTGTTCTGTGGGACAAATTTCTACTTTCATTAGAATTTCTAAGGAAAAAATATATATTATTGAGAAATGTTTCTTTATAATTTGGCAGAATCTCAAATCTTCTTTCTGTAATTTTGTAGCACTTTGATTTATTTTGTCATCTATAAATCCCAAACTACCCACTCCTACAGTTATTCTTACAGTTATTCCTACAGTGTATTTTTAATGTATTTCCAATAAATAGCAACCTCTACCCCCTCTTTCTTTCCTTGTGCAATATTCCTCTGTCTAAAAGAATTCCAGGCACATAGCATGCATTTAGTAAGTACTTCAGTAAATGAATAAATTAAATTTAGAATTATAATATTCTTGAATAATGTCTATCTACACTGGTAAATTCATCACAGATGTCTCCAGGTTCTAGATAGGCAGTGTTTTATGAGGCTCTCTCTGTGGCCAAAACTTCTTAATGTACTGGTTTTATCTTTTCATTTTTCATACTTGTGTACATGTAAATGCTTATGTTGTTCTTTTCGTTTTTTCAACCTCAGTAGTAATGTTAGTTTTCTCCATCTCCCCACCTCCACCTCATGCTCTTTTTAGGGCCTTATCAGACCTAAATAAGGATGGGAAGATGAATCAGCAGGAGTTCTCCATAGCTATGAAACTCATCAAACTAAAGCTTCAAGGCCAGCAGTTGCCTGTGGTTCTCCCTCCCATTATGAAACAGCCGCCTGTGTTCTCTCCATTACTTGCTGCTCGTTTTGGTGCGTACTAATTTAATAACTTGGATTTATTAGTTCATCTTAATTCTTAAACATAATACTTGGGGATCAGAAAAGGGTTTGTTAGCATAAAGTGATAGTCCCCACACCTGGATAAGAATTACTTCAGTTCCCTGTCATAGCTAGGTTACACGTGTGCCCCACTTTTCCAGGAACAGTTTGTACCTTCAGTCTTGACATCTGGTCCAGTCAGTATCACCTTTCGCAACTCCTGGGTTGGTGATAAATTATACCCTGCCCCTAGACGATCCTGAATATTATTCGTAATTAGTTTCCTCTATGATCTCATGGAAGTAGGAAGTAGGATAGTGGTTACCAGAAACTGCAAAGAGGAGGGAAGAGGAGGCAGTGCTCAGTGGGTAGAAAATTAGAGGAGAAGTAAATTCTGGTGTTGTGTTGCATAGTAGGCTGACTGTAATTAACAATATAGTATTACATACTTGAAAATAACTAGAAGAGAGGACTTTGAATGTTTTTAGGACAAAGAAATGATAAATGTTTGAGGATAAGCCAGATACTCTGATTTGATCATCGCACAATGTATACATGTACAGAAACATTGCACTGTACCTCATGCACATGTACAGTTGTGTCACTTAAAAAAATGAACGATTTTAAACTTACTTGAAATTGACGAGTTTATTCAAAATTATATGTAAGTAGTAATTTCCTTAACTTAAAAGATTAATTAACCAGTCAAATTTAAAGCCAAAAGTCATAGGCTTCAGCTAGGTAATTTACATATTTATTAGGTATTTTACGTATTTATCAGTAATTTTATGTAAACTTAGAAAATTTTTCCTTTAGTCAACTTTTAACCCCAAACAATGTACTTTTACTTTGAAAAAGTATATTTCTCAAAATGTTTCATAATCATTGTACAGTGTAATTTCTTGCGCAGTTTTCAGTTTCATTGTACAGTAATTTCTTGTGTAAATTCTTCTCATTAGGTATCTTAAAATTTATTTATTTATTTATTTATGGTACCAGGGATCAAATTCAGGTCCTTGCACTTGCGAGGCAGGCAGCAGAACCACTGAGCTAAATCCCCTGCCCGGTATCTTAAATTTTAGAAAGCCCTAAAGTATCTTTTATCATCTCTCATATAAATGATATATATTTATCAGTAATTTATATATTTATGTTTTCTAAATAATTTTAGTCAGCTACCTATTAATTATATGTGAGAAGCACTCATTTTGAATAGAACATTCAGTTAGGTATCTCTATGTGTGAGAAGCATATTCCTTCACTCTGGGTATTAGATCTTAAGACACTTAATTCTTCCACTCTTGCACTAAGCTCTAGAGATAAATACCAAACACACTGTGATCATATTTATATATTATGCTTTGTGTTCTGCATTTAATAAACAAACATCATCACTTTGCTCTTTTTGAAGAATCACTCTTGAATTTTTTTTGTCTAGGGAGTGTGGGCACGTGTTAGGTAACTTAGCACTGCTGTATTTGTCTTCCTTACATAAAAAACTACATGTGATCAGGTAAAACATTCTTTGAGGATACGAATATTTAATTGGAAAAGCTGCTTAGTTTTAGTCACAATGAAAGAAGAGAGAAAAGAATGTTTAGCTGATTACTAGATATTTCCTTTGTTCATACAGGTCAGAATATTAATATTAAATGTAGTAGCTTATCTCCCTTACCTCTCATTCAAGCTGCTTTAGTTAGTATTTCTATAAAAATAGAGGCTGCTCATTATACTGTAAACTTGCTTTTTGGCATGTGTCTTACAGCTGATTTACTAGCACTAGAAGATGTGTTCTCTTCTCTCTTTAGGGATGGGAAGCATGCCCAATCTGTCCATTCCGCAGCCATTGCCTCCTGTTGCACCTGTAACAGCACCCTTGTCCTCTGCAACTTCAGGGACCAGTCTTCCTCCCTTAATAATGCCTGCTCCCCTAGTGCCTTCTGTTAGTACATCGTCATTACCAAATGGAACCGCCAGTCTCATTCAGCCTTTGTCCATTCCTTACTCTTCTTCAAGTAAGTGTCTAATGAGTCAGTATTTCATGGGAAGAAAGAAACTGTTCTGTTGTGTTCAGATAGATACAGATTTCCTTCCTTGTGAAATTGCTTAGTGTGCGCCTTTTTTCTTTTTTTTAGCATTGCCTCATACATCATCTTACAGTCTGATGATGGGAGGATTTGGTGGTGCTAGTATACAGAAGGCCCAATCTTTGATTGATTTAGGATCTAGTAGGTATGAATACTTAACATTTATTTTTCATGCTTTCAGCCAAGAGTCATTATTTAATAAGCTCTGAGCTTATCTAGGTTTTACTTTCTAATGGCCAAATGTAAATACTTAAGGTAAATCAGCTACTCATACCTTACATAAAATAAGTTTATTTTTAGAATTATTAAATATCTGTGATACTTTACTTTTTAAAATATTTTATGCAAACTTTTTATATAAATTTTTTGTTTAGTCAACTTTTAACCCCAAACAGTGTACTTTTACTTTGAAAAAGTATATATTTCTCAAAATGTTTCATGATCATTGTACAGTGTTAATTTCTTTTTTGTGTAAATTCTTCTGATTGGCTATCTTAAATTTTAGAAAGTCCTAAAGTGACTTTTATCATCTGTCATATAAATCACTATTATGTCTTCCAGTGCATGCACAAAGTTGTTTTTGACCCAGAGGTACAATGTTCATATCGTAGTTTAAATACCACTGATTTTCTAACTTTATTTCTTCTTAATATCACTGGCTCATAGTTTATCCATCTAAAAGATGGGGACAATATGAATTTTTAAGGTTGTTGGGATATTTACAAAGGCCCTAGCACAATACAAAGCCTGGGTTCTTGATATGTGGCAGTCCCATGGAGTTCTGTGCTTCATATGGTATGTGCTTTACCAAGAATTGTAATTGCTTAAATTTAAGTTTTAAAAAATTCAGAGGTAAAAGCACTTATTATTGTATTATGGAAGGTATGATTCCTAATCTGTTTGTCATATAAAGTTTAATGTATTTTATTTGGTAACATAAAAAATTTAAATTTTGTTATAGCTCAACTTCCTCAACTGCTTCACTCTCAGGGAACTCGCCCAAGACTGGCACCTCAGAGTGGGCAGTTCCTCAGCCTTCAAGATTAAAATATCGGCAAAAATTTAATAGTCTTGACAAAAGTATGAGTGGATACCTCTCAGGTAAGCCTCACATAGTGCTTAAGAGGGTGGGAGAGTTGAAGTCCTTTATACAGACTTCCCTTGAAAAACTGTCATTTTAATTTATATTTGTAGTTCATCTAAAGTTTTAATATCCCAAAAATTTAGAGAGCATTTGATAAATACAAATATTATAAGTTGCATGAAATAAAGAGAGTCAACTTGATTGCTTTCTTCAAAGTACTTACAGTCAAGTTGAACACACAGGTATCACCCAAGGTTTTGGGAAAATACTTATCTCTCAAGAAGATCAAACCCATTCCCTAAGCTTTGCATCGAATGGACATCCCCAGGTCATGAAGAGAAAAGTGCAGAACTTGGTCTTGGCTTGCTTGCCTGAGAATCTCGTTCCTCGTTGGGCCTTTTCTCTGGTTGCTTTCACCAAAACCTTAGGTGAACATTGCTCACCCTTTAATGCTCTAGTACAAATGTTCCTGTAAGACTTGACATCTGATACCTGTAGAACATTTGAGACTGGGCTGGACCATTGCCCAAATATTAGTAATTGAGGGTTGTGAAGGAGATACACAGAGTGTAATAGGCCAGTGGAGCTCCCACCTTCTAACTTTTCCACTCTCTCATCACTTGGCAAGAAATGTATATACACATAGGCAAGGACTTTCTGAACAGAGCCCCAGTTGCACAAGAAATAATTCCCAAGAAATAGCAAATGGGAGTACATCAAATTAAAAAGCTTCTGCACACGAAAGAAAATAATAGAGCAAAGGGACAACCTATAGAATGTGAAAAAAACTTTTGCCAGCCACTCTGATAGAAGACTAGTATCTAGAGTATATACAAAACTCACAAAAAGTTTAAACCCTAAAAATCAAAAGAACCAAACAAAAAATAGGCAATTGAAACTCATAGACACTTCTCAAAAGAACTACAAATTACCAATGTGAAAAAATGCTTAACAGCCTTGGCCATTAGGGAAACTGCAGATCAAAACACTGAGATTCCATCTTATTCTAGTAAGAATGGCTATGATCAAAGACTCAGAAACAAGAAATGTTGGCAAGAATGTGGAGGAAAAAGGAAGTCTTCTACACTGTTAGTGGAAGTGTAAACTAATACAATCACTGTGGAAATTGGTATGAAAATTCCTCAAAAAACTGAAAATAGAAATTCCATTTGACCCAACTGTACCTCTCCTGGGTAACTTTCTGAAGAGTTAAAGTCATCATATTACAGTGATACGTGCTTACTCATATTTATAGCAGTATGTTTCACAATAGCTAAATTATGGAAAGAGCCTACATGTCCATTAACAGATAAATGGATAAAGAAAATGTGATATATAGAGCATCATCTATAAGGAATGATAAATTTGAGTTATTTGTAGGACAATGGATGAATGTTGAGACTATAAAGAGCAAAATAAAGGTGAGATGATAGGAAACGGGGAGGTAGACTTTTTGGAGATGGAGAAAGGGACCTAAAGAAGGTAGAGAGGAGTCCAAAACAATGATCAAGATATAGTAGTATATACAGTATAAATATATAGTACACAAATAGTATATACCAGTTCCCGAAAATGAATGTATTTATTTTGTATCATATACATACACAAAAAATTATAGAACAAAGTAAAATAATTATTTTAAAATAATGGATCTTAAGGACCGGGGATTTAGCTCAGTGGTTTCGCCGCCTGCTGTGCAAATGCAAGGACCCGAGTTCAATCCCCAGTACAAAAAATAATAATAATAATAATAATGGATCTTTAAAGTGTCAGGTAAGCCAGTCATGATGGCATATTCCTGTAATCCCAACACTTGGAAGGCTGAGGCAGGAGGATCGCCAGAAGTTTGAGGCCAGCTTAGACTACATAGTGAGTTCAAGGCCAGCCTGAACTACATAATGAGACCCTGTCTCAAAAAAAAAAGTGTCAGGATCATAGAATGGGAGAGATTAATACTGATGGGTCAAATAAAATATAGAAAAGGAGGGGCCGGGGATTTAGCTCAGTGGTTCTGCCCCCTGCCTCGAAAGCGCAAAGTCCTGAGTTTGATCCCCAGTACCAAAAAATATAGAAAGGGAACATTTATACTTCATCATGAAAGAAAGTCTTAGGATTTGGACAAACAGGTTGAAAGTGAGGCCATTTTTGAGAGTGACACAGAAGAAATCCTAAGGGCAGTACCTGTATAAGCATGGAGGATGGAAAGTAGTCTGAAATAGGAGCATAGGGTCTCCCATTCTGTGATAGGGTAAGGGAGCAGCAAGATTTTGGGGATCCATTGAACAATAATATATATACAGTATAATATCTAAAGATACATACTTATGTGATAATTTTTTTCTTAAAGCAAGGGAATTATGCCTCCAAAGTTTAGGATAGTGGTTATCTTTTGTGAGTAAAGCATAGAGAGTCAAGGAATATAGATATCTAAGGACTGCACATGGTATAAACACTGGTATGCATGTATCTGTAATATCTAGTTATTGAGCTGTGTTGTAAGTTCATGAGGGAGAGACTTTTATTATTGAATTAAATAACTTACCTATATACTATCTGTTTTTACATGTATATAGTATTACATACCCAAAATTATTCTACAATTTTATCAAATTATGTGAAACAGGGTATACTGTATTTTTTAAGTTATGTTTAAAATTTTTTTTAAGTTGAGGTGTTACCATAGGTGGCATCTTAGTATGCTGTCATATTTTATTGACAATGTTTTTTTCTCAGTGTTACATAAATAATAGTGTTTCCCGATCAGTGGAATGTTAGATTCTCTGTGATACGATATTGAAAAGTACTTGAGATTAATGTAGCCGTTAATCCCATTCTTTGAAAAAAAAAATGAACTTCACCGGTCCCTGTCCTATGCATTAAAGTTTCTTCTTCCAACCAAACAAAAATAGATTGAAAAGACAGGTTCAAAAGTGTTCACAGCCTAAATATCCATCACTAGGAGAATGGATAAATATATCGTGGTATATTTATAGAACAGCGTACTTTGTAGCATTAAAAATGAACTGGGCCAGGGATGTAGCTCAGTGGTGCCGCGCCTGCCTGGCAAGTGCAAGGTCCTGAGTTCGATCCCTAGTACCAAAAAAAAAAAGAATGAACTGCATATAACAATATGAATGAATTTCACAGATACTACATTGAGTGAAAGAAAGTTATCACAAAAGATCCATACTATTTAATTCATTTATATGAAGCTGAAGAACACGAAATCTAATTAATGGTGATAGAAATCAGAATAATATACTGTTGGAAAGGGGCTGTGTGCAAACCTTCTGAGGTACATTTTGTATCTCTGTGAGTTTTGTATGCAGGTGTGCTTACCCATGTCACTTTATTTGTATGTGCCACATTGTAGGAAAGTTAAATATTGTATTTTCAGAGAATGTTATTCTGAGACCTACAAGGCTAAAGCTTTATATTTGTAAGTAAAGGCAAAATTTTCTTTAAAAAAGAATAGTTATTGCTGGTGTCCTGAAACTGAGCATGCACCCCAAGTACATGACAGGACTGACCTGAATTTATATTTTATGCTTTGTTCATTGAATCTAGCAATTGGTGGTCTAATTTTCTTTCTTTGTTCCTCTTCTTAGCTTCCACTAAACCCACAGTCTTTGATTTATTTAGATGAATTCATTGATTTAGCTATTCCTGAGTCACATAACTTCTGGGCACTTTCTTGGCACAAGAACACAGAGGGGAGAAAGGCATGGTCCTGCCCAGGCCCATAATATAGCTCACATCGCATAGTATTTGATCAGTGACTTAAAAGTGCTATGAGCAGTGTAGATGAGAAACTGACTGACTGAGGATACGGGAGAGGTTTTCACAGAAAGTATGATCCATGAGCTGGATCTTAAAGGATAAATACACTAGTAGGTAGAAAAGGTGGGGTGGCATTCTAGGCAGAGGAGATAAGATATTCCCACAATTGGCAGAACAAGAGTATACATGTTCAGGTGAGCTTTTCTTAGTAAAATACTCTGCTGACTTTTTGTGACCCTCTGTATAATTCAGAATTTGTTTGTATTCATACAGTCCTTTAGCTGTCCTCCAGCAGTATTTTAATCATTTTTATTCCTTCTTTCTTCTGTCTTGTCTGTTGCCTGATGCTGTGATGTCTTAGTTACTTCCTCATTGCTGGGACAAGATATCTGACACCCACTCGCAATTTGTGTTTCAGTCCATAGTTGGCTGGCTCCAAGGCAGGGCAGCATGGCAGAGGAGAAACAGTCCATGGCAGGGCAGACAGAAAATAATAGCAGCAGCAAGCCTCCCTTTCCCTCTTTATCGCATTCAGGCTACAAGCCTTTTGGTTGATGCCACTCATACCCAGTTTGGGGCTCTGTCTTCAGTAAATCCATTCAGCCACACCCAGAACTATGCTAAACCAGTTGGTGGACTAGTTATCACATCCTGATCCAGTATCATACACCCATAATCCAGCCATCTTGAAAAAGCCCCACCTATGAGCACATGAGGCTTTGGGGAGACATCTAGATACAAGTTACAAGCCATAAGGGTTTTTTGTTTTTGTTTTGAGTACTAGGGGATGGTTCTATGCGTGCTCTACCACTGAGCTACATCCCAGCCCTTTTTATTTGAGACAGTGTCTCACTAAGTTACCCAGGCTAGCCTCGAATTTATAATCCTCCTGCTTCAGCCTCCTGAGTAGCTGGGATTATAGTGTCCCACCATACCTGGCCTCTTTCTCTTTATTAAAAGAATCTTTTTAACTCAGTTTCTCAAATTACACTTCCTGTGTGAAATCCAAAATTAGTAGAGTGAAACTATAAAGCTATTACCAGTGTTTTTTCTTATGAGATTTCTAATGAGCAAATAAAAAGTGATATTTTAAAACATTTAACTGCATATTATAAACACAGTAGCTTTGGTTAGCAAGCCCTCTGTGTTCAAAACTCAGTGGAACAATGGGGTTAGCTGCATTTGTGCTGGCTTTATGGTAGGAACTGCTGCTGAGGAAGGGTTGTACAAACTGTTGTGTGCAGAGTTGTGTTGGATAGGCCTTGACTGAAGCTGAACTCTGAGCAGGGGCCAACTCTTCTGGTGCTCATGAGTAGGTCACCTAGAGGTGAAAGGTGGGGCACCTGCTGCATTGACAAGGACACTGTGTCTTGAGAGGTGGCGTGATTTCACCCATGGTCCAGCATGTCAGGGGTGGATGCTCCTCTGAAGCAGTGATTTTCTGTTCTGAAATGTATTCTTGGACTTTCTTTTTTTGTTTGTTTCCTTGATACAGCATTCTGGATCAGGAAATCTGTTACAGAAATATAACTTTGATTACTGAGAAAAGAAGTTGAACAGTTTACTACATGTAGTTATTAATTATTGTCAGATGCTATCACCCAAGTCCTTATTGTAGCTTAGAGGAAAACTTTTTATTCAACTTCTTTTATTATTTTAACAAATATTTATAAGCATTCATTTACCAGTTGTGGGGTATGCATTAGTGAATAAAGCAGTCAAGCTTTTCATCACCTTAGAACTTGCCAGCATGTCAGGGGAAATAGACAATAAAGAGGCAATCAAGCAGATAAAAATCATATTATGAATAGTGGTAGAGGTTATGAAAGGAACAGGGAAGATACTGGATGATAGGGAGGTTGTCAGAGACTTTTCTGAGAAAGTGATATTAAATTGAGACTTGTGGGGTTAGGAGGATCTGAATACGCAATGACAGAAGTGTAGGACCTGATGTTGGATGTAGGTGTATAGGAAAGAGAGGGATTGAGGGCAACTTTTGGAGTTCTGGCTTGAGCAGTGGATAGTAATGCCATTCATAGAGAAGAAAAGACCAGAGGAGAATGATTTGAAGTAAAAACCTGGAAAAGAAATGTAGGTGGAGATAGAGAATTTTTATATATATTTGATTTGAGGTTCCTGTCAAGTATCTAAGAAGGTTTTTGGTTGAGTATAAAAATGAAAACTTAAAGGAGAAGTTTGGGCTGTGGATATATGTTCGGTGATCATCAAGCTCTAGGCTTGTTTGAAACCATGGAAATGGGTCTGAATACACAGAGAGAGAAGAGTGCCCAGGACAAGTCCTTGGAGGGACAACAGCATTTGCCGGTCATTTAGGAAGAGTAGAGGCAAATGCACTTGGGATTGTGCTGAAGCATAAGAAGGGCTGAGAGTCACACTGCCTGGTGGCTCACACCTTTGGGTCATCCACTTGTGTGCTGCTGCTTTGATGAGAGAACGTGGTAGAGCACTTGCTCTCACTAGTGCTGGATTTCAAACTCCTCGGAATAGGGCTATGTTTATTACTACTCAGTGCTCATTACCTGGCAGGTGGTAAATACATTTTGAAGTTAAAGGAATAGCTATTTAGGTTTGTATGACTTTAAAGAGGCTAAAGAATTTTTTCCTTGTGGTTTTCCCACTTTAAACAGGTTTTCAAGCCAGAAATGCCCTTCTTCAGTCAAATCTTTCTCAAACTCAGCTAGCTACTATTTGGTGAGTTTGTGTTATGATTTTTAACTGTATAGCCTCTATTATAAAAAAGATACTGTTTGGGGGGAAAAAAAACAAAGGAAGAAAAATAATTGTTTCTGTAAAAGTTTGTGATTCATAAAAACAGCCACTTGAAAGTTAATATTAACATTGAAAGCAAAATTTATAAAGCATTGTTCTTAACAATTTAGCATTTAACTGTTTTACAAGTAAAGCTATAATTTTTATATACTACTTCTATGGAGAATCAGAATATCTCAGTTTTAATATACAGATAAATGTGATTTGATAGGTAAGTTGAACATAAAATAAGACAAGCCACCTTCTCAGAATGGATATATCTCATTCTGTTTCAAAATTTCTTCCCTCTTTGTTATGAAAATTAACTTACTTTTCTGTATATATTTACATTCCGCTAAAATATGCTAACCCAGCAGTTTTACAATCGATACTATTTTAAAAATTAAAAATTATATTCTTCAGACAGTATTTTACTCCATATGGACTTTCCAAGTTGTGAATTTTCACATTCCTTTAGGACTCTGGCTGACATCGATGGGGACGGACAGCTAAAGGCTGAAGAGTTTATCCTTGCAATGCACCTCACTGACATGGCCAAAGCTGGGCAGCCGCTGCCACTGACTCTGCCTCCTGAGCTTGTCCCGCCCTCTTTCAGGTGAGTGTGCTGCCAAGGAGGAGCCCTGGTCTTCGTCACATGGCAAGTATGATTTACTTTGGGACTTGCTAGGGCCTGTGCTCTAGCTTAGAGGAGAGTTAACTTATTTTTTTGGCATTTAATTTCAGTACTCAGTGAGTTGCACTAGAAAGAAGTATGTGGTAGAAGTAGGTATGTTGGGTCCGGGGATTTAGCTCAGTGGTTCCACTGCCTCCCTCGCAAGCGCAAGGTCCCGAGTTTGATCCCCGGTACCAAAAAAAAAAAGTAGGTATGTTTTCACCATATTATAGATAAAGAAAAACTTGCCCCAGAATAGCAGTTAACTACACCATAATCTGAATTTAGCTGTCTCTGGCTTAAATCACAGTAGTATGTACTGTGTAGTCTGAACGTTCCCAGATGGCGTTATGCTAAATTTGTTGTTTGCTTTTCTTAGAGGAGGAAAGCAAACTGATTCAATCAATGGAACTCAGCCTTCATATCAGAAGACGCAAGAAGAGGAACCTCAGAAGAAATTACCAGGTATCAGTCGGTATCTAAGTTGTTTGTTTATAGTGAGTTCTTTTAAATTTTACTTTGAAATATAAGTGAATACTTAGAAGTTTTTCATTATTAAGATTCTGTTTTGATGTCATTAAAATTAAGATTTTGATATCAGTAAAATTAATGTGTGTATGAAGGAAGAAAAGATTGTATGTGTATTGTTAGAATAAGCTTTGTGGTGAATTGTTAGCTTTTAAGAAGTAAGTATTGATAGAGAATGTACATTGTTTTTTAAATTATTAATACTAAATATTTAAAATAATATTTTAAATTTAAAAAAGTTAATGGCATATCTCAAACAAAACAAATATATGGGCACACAATTTTGGTGGCCCTTGAAGAAAACCCTGAGACAAAAGTTTAACCAGTATTTTTCCTGGCAAAGATAGTAAAATTACTCCTCAGATGGGCTCAAACATAGAAATTTGTTTGTTTGGGTTTTTTTGGTACCGGGGATCAAACTCGGACAGGTGGCGAAACCACTGAGCTAAATCCCTGGCAAAACATAGAAGTTTTTTTTTTTTTAAATGACCATTTTTAGAAGGAAGGAAGTATTTTCCTGTTTACATTTGAGTTAGAATTACCCTTAGAGGAAGTAGCTAAACAGGGGGAGTGCTCCGATGATCACGGGTGTGTGCTGCATGGGATTCTGGGTTCTGTAGACTTGTGGTGTGGGAAGCTCACAGCATACCCTGTTCAGTTACCTTTGAGGACAAGCGGAAAGCCAACTATGAGCGCGGGAACGTGGAACTGGAGAAGCGGCGCCAAGCCTTGATGGAGCAGCAACAGCGGGAGGCAGAGCGGAAAGCCCAGAAAGAGAAGGAAGAGTGGGAGCGAAAACAGAGAGAATTACAGGAGCAAGAATGGAAGAAGCAACTTGAATTAGAAAAGCGCTTGGAGAAACAGAGGGAATTGGAGAGACACCGGGAGGAAGAAAGAAGAAAAGAGATAGAAAGACGAGAGGTTATTCTTATTTTATTTCCTAAGAACATCATTCACTTAATAAATCACTACATTTTTTTTTTCACTACATTTTAATTTAGTTAAAACATACTTACTTTTTTTTTTTTTTTGGTGCCAGGGATAAACATACACTTTTGAATGTGTGTCGTACCTTCTTCTCGGCATCGTTTCATTCTTTCTTATGAGTTGAACCTGCCCTCCCTTGAGGAAGAGAGGGTCCCTTGTGGAAGAGCTTTTCAGGGATAATGCATGGTAGAGTGCATCCCTGTCGTGTGAGTGATGCCTCAAGCAGGACTAAGGAGGACTAAGTGCACAGCTGAGCTGGCAGGGCGGTGGGGTAGTTGGCCAGTGGAGAGTCAGGCTGCGCAAGTTTGAGGTTCAGAGGAAGAGTCTGAGGAATCAGAAGGGCAGAAAGACGAGAGTGCAAAGCCAGAGGTCTAGAGAGGAACCAAGAGCGTGGGCCTGTGCGAGCCCTCAAGATGCAGTGTGGGGGGACCCCAAAGAGGACGGATTGAGCTGGGCACAGGGGTGCACGCCTGTAATCCCAGCACTCGGGAGGCTGAGGCAGGAGGATCGCTGCAAGTTTGAGAACAGCCTGGGCAACATAGTGAGTTCAAGGCCAGCCTGAACTACACAGTGAGACCCTGTCTCAGAAAACAAAACAAAAATAAAAACAAAGAGGACGGACTGTGTTTTAAAGGACCAGGGGTGGACCCCAGTAGGTCACAGTGCCCTGAGAAAATGGAAAGGGAAATGTTTTTCTCCCCTGGTGCCAGGACAGAGATGTGACTGCTAACTTACCTCTTACCATTTATATTTATGAAGTCATCCTTTGGCTTAGTAAGAGAAGAATGAATGTGACAAAAGGGTGGGCCTGTGAAGCAATCGCAGTGATGGATAAAGCGCATTTGTGGAAGTCTTTAGGCCTGTGATAGGACTAACTTTGCCCACCTGCCCTTTGGCACCATGGCCCCCCTAGTGCTGAACACTGTCATCCCTTTAGCTTTTGAAGAGTGTTTAACTTAAAATTAACCATGATTCATTATTTCCAGGCAGCAAAACAGGAACTAGAGCGACAGCGTCGTTTCGAATGGGAGCGAATCCGTCGACAGGAGCTTCTCAGTCAGAAGGACAGAGAACAGGAGGAAGTTGTCAGATCAAACTCTAAAAAGAAGAGTCTTCACCTTGAGCTGGAAGCACTGGTATGGCCAGAGTCTAAGTGGAATTCATCTGAAGAGTGCTAGCGTTTTACTTGCTGAAAATGCTGTTATTTTTTAAATCTATCTCATAAATGAATTATGTTTTAATGTAATTAACTGCCTTGGCCTCCCGAGTGCTGGGATTATAGGTGTGTGCCACCTCGCCTGACTTTAAATGTGCGCTCTTTTTTTTTTTTTTTGGTTTGTGTTTTTTTGGTACCGGGGATCAAACTTGGGACCTTGCACTTGCAAGGCAGGTGGCGGAACCACTGAACTAAATCCCCGGCCCTTTTTTTTGGTTTTTTGAGACAAGGTCTCACTTTGTAGTTCAGGCTAACCCTGAACTTAACTGTGTAGCCCAAGCTGGTCTTGAACCTGTAGTGATCCTCCTGCCTCAGCCTTCTGAGTGCTGTGATTACAAGAGTGTGCCACCACACCCAGCTCTAGATATGCTTTTTAACAGACTAGGCAGTATAGTTTGTTGAAAAGGGTAGAGCCTAAAGTGCCATGTGCATTACTTTGTTACTTTGCCTACACATAAAATGAAGGATGTGCTGCTTCAGTAATTTTCAATTTTCAAAGCAGTCTCTGGAAGATGGTCTGCAGAGGACATTCACAACAGATGGCTCTGCATTTTATCTGGTTTATTTTTGTTGAGCTTTAGTCTAAAATTTCCTTGAATAAAAGGATTCTACCATTAATAAAGAAAAGGGAGGGCCGGGGATTTAGCTCAGTGGTTCCGGTGCCTGTCTCGTAAGCACAAGGTTCCAAGTTCAATCCCCAGTACCAAAAAAAAAGAAAAGAAAAGAAAAAGAAAAGAAAAGGGATTAAAACTGCTTGTCTAAATAATTTCTTTTTCTTTTTTCCTTAAATTCTTTTATTGGTACATTTTAGGTATACAATACGTTTACATTTATCATTGGGTGCTTGTCCCTGTACATGATGCATCTTGGTTCTTATTTTTTTCCCCATTCCCTGTGTGCCCTTCACCCCCTCCACCCTTCCCTATTTACATACTTTGTTTCCATGTTTTTCTTTTCTCATAATTTTTCCCTTCCCTCCTTTCCTTTCCCCTTCCCCTCCCACCACCCCTACCCCTTTGGACCTTTTCTTCCTATTTCAAACTATCAGTTATTCATTTTAATCATTTTAATCCTTATTTACACTCTCAGTTTCTCACACTAGAGAAACTGTTCGGTATTTACACGTGTGTCCTATTTATTTCTTTATATATTCTAGATAGTAGCCCTTTGTCTGAGGTACAGCTGCTAAAAAATTTTTCCCACATTGTAGGTTGTCTGTTAGCTCTGTTGGTAGTTTCTCCCCTAAATGATTTCTTACAGTTCCTTTCAGTTCTGCAGGACCATAGGTTTTAGCTCATAATTGGCCATTATGTAACCAGTACCTTGAAATGGACCTTTAAAAGGCAGATTTTGGGCCAGGGATTTAGCTCAGTGGTACCATGCCTGCCTGGCAAGTGCAAGGTCCTGAGTTCAATTCCCGGTGCCGAAAAAAATATAAAAAATAAAAGTTAGATTTTTTTTCCTTGAGAGACAAGGAGCTTCTCCAAACTTCTTAGACCTGCAGCATCAACATCTACTCTCACTTCTCTTTAGCTCAGCTGGGTGGACAGGATATGCAGGTGTTGGCACCAGGTCAAGCCCAATTTCATTTCCTTAGGCCAGGGAGGGAGAGGTCTAGAAAGGGGCTGAGCAAGCCCGGCCTGTCTATCGTCTCCTCCACAGTTCCTTGCTATAAAAGAGCCCAGCATACCATACACAGTGAGATGATGATTTGATGCAAATGGGCCCCTTCATCTTCTTGCAGCTAGCTTTGCATAAATTCTTTTTCTTTTCTACTGAAACAAATGTCCTTCTTTGATTTGGTGAACATCAAGCAAACAGACCTGAGCATATGAACCTCAGTGGCCATTAACAACTATGCATACCAGTTTTTACTCATCAGATTTTGAAATGCAAGATGAGAAGATTAAAAGGTCTGAAACTATTCTTCTGCAGTCTTAGCATCCTATAAGCCTGGCCTGACCTAATAATAGTATTGTAGGATTTTGGATGTTTAGTCATATAGTAGAACCAAATTTAAATTTTTTTGTTTTTTGAGACAGGGTCTCACTTTGTAGTGCAAGCTGGCCTTGACCTCCTGGCCATCCTCCTGCCTCAGCCTCCTGAGTGCTGGGATTATAGGCCTTCACCACCACACCCATCTTAAATTTAGATGTTATTTAGTTGTAGTGGAACATTTTATTTGGTCAACTTTAATTACATCATAAAATTATTTTTCAATTATCTCAATACCTCTAGTCAGAAATGTCTTCAAATAGGTATACATACTATAATTATTAGTTAAGTCATCATACTACAAAAGAGGCCTAGAACTTCTCAGTGCCACCTGGATATCTAGCTGAACCATCATCTTGACTGTATTTTTCCTTAAAAATATAATTGCAGGAGACCTTAACATTGATGGTTTTTTCCTTAAGAACTGATTCAACACACTGAGCCCAATAACCTAGGTTAGCGGGCAGTCTGGAAAGGTCTGGAGCCTGAACTCATCTGTGCCGAAGGTGACAGTGTGGGCTCCAGGATTGACATAGCATATTCCTTTTAGTGTGAGACATATTGTGCAGTGCAGATTTCAGTGTCAGTGGTTATTAAGCAGGGATCTCATTCTCGTCACCCTGCTGTGGTAGTTTGCTAGGGCGACCATAACTAAATAGCAGAGGCTGGCTAGCCTGAACAGCGGAAATCTCTTTTTCCACTGTCTCGGAGGCTGGGGCCCGAGATCACGGCCCCTGTGGGTTTTCTTGTGAGGCCCCTGTCTCTGCAGTTTGCTAGTGGCTGCCTCATTCCTGTGTCCTCACGTGGCCTTTTCTCTGTACGTGTGCATTTCTGGTGTCTTTTGTATCTAGACTTCCTGGGAATCTAGTCAGGCGGGATTAGGGTTCACCTGTGTAACCTCATTTGACCCTAATTACCTCTTTAAAGGTCCTTTCTCCAAATTTGGTCCCATTCAGAGGTGCCAAGGGTTAGGTCTTCAACATAAATTTTGTGCGAGGGGAGCACAGTTCAACCCCTAACATCCCACCTCACCCTCTCCTTAGGCTCCAAGGAGAATATCTACTCTCTGTTCTAACCCTGCTGAAGAGTAGGGAAGAATGGGTACTCCTTGCTTGAGGAAAAGAAATCCTAGTCCACCCGGGTACTGTTTAATTACAGGAAATTAGTAACATCGAAGGTGACAATAGAAGTTCAGAGAAAGTAGTGCTAAATGTCATATGCAAACATTTTTTCATCCTCATTGTTTTCCAAGATTGTCTCTTATGTGATACATAAATGCCCAAATGGCGAATTCAGGGGGGAAAAAACCTCAGTGTTTTATATTTATGCTTTCTCATCATAAAATCTGGGCTCTTCCACTCTGAGCTAATAACTCTTGAGTTAACAGGTATAACTTGAAAACATACTTGGCTTGGTTTTAGACACTTCAGGCTGAGTGTGAATAATAAGTAACATCTAAAAATTTAACTAAATAAAAATATTTTTCTCCTGGTAGGAACATTTTCTGTTAGCACCTTACGTTGCCATAAATTTATATGATCTTCCCACAGAATAGCAAACATCAGCAAATCTCAGGCAGACTACAAGATGTACGACTCAGAAAGCAAACACAAAAGACCGAGCTGGAAGTTCTAGATAAGCAGTGTGACCTGGAAATTATGGAAATCAAGCAACTTCAGCAAGAACTTCAGGTAAGTCCTTTGCCACTAGTTGTCCTTAAACATGTGCAGCTGTTGAAGCTTTTCCTGATAGGGGAGTTGTACTTCGAGGATCATGAAGTCCTCTGGTTCTGAAGAGCTGTGATCCAAAGCACATGATCTTGTATATAATATCAGGAAGTCCACAGACCTCCTAAAGCTCTGCTAGATAGCATATTAGGTTCTGATGGGAGCTTACACATAAATGGACATTTATCATTCCAAGTTTTAACTCTAAGAATATATTTATGTATTTATCTTAGTCCGTTCTTGTGACTGTCACAGACTGTCTTTTGTGTAATTTATAAACAACAGAAATGTATTGCATAGTTTTGAAGGTTGGAAATTTGAAGCTCAAAGCACCCGGAGATTCATTGTTGGGTGAGGGCTTGCTCTCTGCTTCACAGATGGCTGCTGCTTCCCACACCTCCTTGCGGAAGGAGCAGGCACTTCCCATCAGCCTTTTGTAAGGACACTAACCCCATTCATCAGAGAAGAGCCCCCATGATTTAATCACCCCCTAAAGGTCTGCCTCTTAACACTTGTATTGAGGATAAGATATCAACATGATTTTAGGGGGACAACAGCATTTAGAACATAGCATACATCAAAATTAAGTTACTGTGAATTTTAGGAAATTTTGACTTAAAGTCATTTTCAGAATTGTGTGAGAAGCTAAATGTGTCCCTCAGAGGCTTGGTAATTCTGTCCTTGTGCATTAGAGTCTGGCTCAATTATTGTTTACAGAATAGAGACGCTAGAAGCCTTTGGCCTCTCTAGACTCCTCTTACCCGGTTTCTCTTACTATGCAGACTGACAGATGGTCTTTTCATTTTGTCACAGCAGACAAAGACAAAAGCCAGAAACATTTCCTTCCTTCCCTAGTTCTCCCTGAGATTTTTTTCCCTTTGCTCTACAGACAAGCTTTCTGGAGTCTTCTGGCCCACTTACTGCACACACCCTCTAGTGCAGTTACCAGAGACCTCTCTATCCTTTGCCCACGACATGCATTAGGACACTGAAAATTATGAACCTCCAGACGTAGCCTACTTACAAAAGTTTTCCTCACTGCCTTTTAATTTCAGCCACTTATTCATAAATGGATGTTTAAACATTTGCTTTTTAAATCCTGCATACTTCCCTTCCAGGTTATTCATAAGTTAGGAGCATTTTACAGTTACCAGTTATTCCTCTACTAAACTTCAAAAAACGATTAACAAAAAAAAAAATGATTAACACTGCCAGGCGTGGTGGTGCATGCCTGTAATCCCAGCACTCAGGATTCTGAGCCAAAAGGATCACTTTGAGTTTAAGGCCAGCCTAGGGTACATACTGAGTTCAGGGCTAGCCTGAACTACAAAGTGAGTCCCTGTCTCAAAATTAAAAAAAAAAAAAAAGATTAACATTCACACTGGGGCTGTAATTTGTATGTCTCACTGCCAGGCAGCTTGAACCATTAGTGGTACATAATAGACTATCCCATTGAGAGGCTTTTCATTAATTTTATTAGTAAAAAGACCAATGAAAGTGATTAGATCCATTTGTATCACCCGTGGTACAAGCTGCCTAGTGACATAGTCGTGCATGCGCCACCAGTGTTACAGACCAGTGGGAACATGTCAAATCATGTTTTCAAATCTTCTGAAACATTCTTGGACATTACACTTTTAACCAGATACTATTTTTCTTTTTATAAGGAATATCAAAATAAGCTTATTTATTTGGTACCTGAGAAGCAATTATTGAATGAAAGAATTAAAAACATGCAGTTGAATAACACACCTGGTAAGTCTAAATTTCATTTCTCTTTTATTTTCTAAATGACTGTATCAGTCATATTCTGTTAGTTTTGAAAAATAGCATTATTCTCATGAATAATTTTTGTGGGCTCTAAGTTAAAAATTGCAATATAGTGTGAAAAATATCATAGGTGGTAGAACATAATTAATAATTATGGCACACTTTCCTCTATCTTGATATTTTTATTTATATTATAAAATATCAGTCAATAAAATATTAGGCTATAATTAAACAAGATCTAAATTGGTTCTAACACAAGATACATGTGCATTTTGCCAAAATCCTGTGCTCATTGTAAAGAACTGTTCAGGAGGACACTTTTCTGTGGAGCCAAGCCTGCAGTTCCAAGGTGATAGCATACAGCATTGCTAGGGCCAAGCATATGGTTGCCCCTGCTAGACCTTCATATCATCTAATTCTGACTCATACAAAGACTCTTACCAGCTTGGCTGTCTGACACCTGTGGAACAAAATATTCCAGTGTGATTTATGGAATATTACATTTTTCGTGGCTCAAATTCCAATCATGTGACTTAAAAAAAAAAACCTATGTCAGATACCATGCCAGTAACAATATAGCAGGGGAAAAGGTTTAAAGAAAAGTAATCTGCATATGTGTTAGAACTGGCTAACGTATCCTAAATGTCATCCTTGAGTACCTGCCAGTCTTTCCATTCCAAGGCCCTTTTTAATATACTTTTGGCTGCTTAGGGGGTCCAATAAAGTATCCTTCTTTGCCCAGATATGAAGCAAATTGAAAAATAAGGCAAAGAAACAAGACAGGTGACAAACCAAAATACCACCTCAGTGTTGGCAAAACTTAATGGGACAGCATGGCTTATCTCCATGGTGCACCTACGAAACATGAGTGCAGATTTCCTGAGGGCAGTGCAGTCTCCAGAGACCAAGGACGAGGAAGAGTCTGGGCAGCACGTGCTCAGGTCCCTGTCTTCAGCTTATTCGGCTGTGAAAAGGTAGAAGGAAGCTGGGAGGGAGTGTTGTGCTAGTGAAGGGCCCTCCACATGGAAGAAACAGCAAAATAAAGTTCACGCTTGTGAACTATTCATACCATGTCTACTGCCATCCCCTAAAAGGGCCTGTCCATGTCTCTTCTCAGCTTTCCTTGCATCTGCTTCTTTTCTGGTCCAAGTGAATTAGCTCCCTAACCCATCCCTCCACAAGCATCCCAGAGACAGGATGTGCCAACCCTCCTGGTCTTAGCAGTGGCAGAAATACACCGTCATCGCTGTTAGTATTTCAATTGTAAATGAAATGCTGACTGTGTCTTCCTATGTCTTACTAGGAATTTGGTAGAGCTACCCTATCTTGGTGGGATGTGATCTAGTCAACTGTTATTTACCCGCTTATTAATGTAACAATAGTCCAGTTCAAAAGAAGCTTTTGTTTGGGATTTGAATTCTACCATGTATGCCTTACAGTCTCCTCTCCGTAACAATTACCATTTAACACTAACACTCAGATGCCACGCACCATGCTAGGCAGTCATGTGTTGTTTTCTTTAATCTTTACAACAGATACAGTTATAATATGGTTCATTATAGTTATTCCCATTGTGCAGCTCAGGAAAACTGAGATTTGGAGAAATTAAGTAGTTCCTCAAGATGGTGCAGTGGTAATACTCAGATTCATGTCTATCTTCTACCAAGACTTCCATTCTATCTTGAATCAAATTTGCTGTTAAAATGTATATGCTCATTGTTATGAATAGAAAAGAAATATACAGCTATAAAACTTCAGTTATAGACATAAAAGATTCCTGAATGGAGATGTCTTATGTTCCTGAGTGAATTAATAATACTATACGTGCAGTAATAACTGGGCCAGCTCTCTAATTATTCCAGTGTATTCAGTTCTATTAAGGTTTCTTTAAATGAAACTTGGAAAGATAATTCACAAATTCATCTGGAAGAAAAAATGTGTAAGACTGAGCAAGACTTGGAAAAGAGAACATTGGAGTGGAGAGACTTGCTTTATCAGAAATCAGAACAAAAGATATGAAAGTTTTAGTACCTAAAATAATGTGCTATTGCTCCCCAAAAGAAAAATAGAACAATGAAACTAAGTGAACATCTATCAAATATAAATTGTTTGATGTTTGTATTTCAGATTCAGGGATCAGTTTACTTCATAAGAAATCAGTAGAAAAGGAAGAATTATGCCAAAGACTTAAAGAACAATTAGATGCTCTTGAAAAAGAAACTGCATCTAAGCTCTCAGAAATGGATTCATTTAACAATCAGCTGAAGGTATTGATCTTCTGTTACATTCATTTCTAGGTAGCTGCCTTCTTACTGCCCTTATTTTTATTTAATAGAAGGAATAACAAAGCTATTATAATTGTATTGCACTTTCATAATTTCAACTATACCTGAGTTTTCAAGATTTTTTAATGTTCTCTAAAATATTATAAAAATTCTGTCACATTACTAAACATATCATTTACCACAGTTTTCAGTTTTTGATGACTAGATGCTGTTTTTATGGGCATTTCCAAAACAGTTTCCTTTGTCAGTATTATAGAGCGGATGTCAGCTAACATAATTGTAGGTAACAGTCTAAAACGGAAAACATGGCAATTTTAAAATAGCTCTGGTGGTAGAGGCTCTTTTAACACACTAAAATTCTTTTTTGTTCCTTTGTTACAATATAATTTAGGAAATATATTTTATGAAATAATGCAATAATCAGTAAAATCCAAAGCAGAATCTGGTTCCATAAACTTTGCAAGAAAAATCAAGTTCATGATTCATTGTTTGCTGCAGTAGTAGAGCAGATGTCCAAAGCATACTGTGTACTTACCTTTCTTTGCAGTGTGAGTTGTATACTGAAGCCATGTCTATGCAAGGAGATAATAAAAGGTAAAAATAAGAGTAACTGTGCATAATTCAGCTTTGGGAATAGTCCCATTCCTTTGCCAACTGGGCATAATTTTTAGTGTGTAAGTTATTACATAGCATTTCTATAAGAAAGCTGTTTTTTGTCTTGCTAATTTAGAATAACCCTAACTCCAACTATGAGTAAGTACCTTGATAAACAAAAGACAACCATGGTGGCTTCAATTAAGGAGGGAAAATGGAGGTGAAAATGTTAATAATACCCCATTACAAAACATGTATCTTATAGGAAAAATATTAAAGAAAATAACTTGTCATTGATGGTCAAACAAGCCAGCCAAGTTATCCTCCCTGCCTTTCTTAAATCTGTACATAGTTTAACTGGCTTTTTATCTGCCTTATCTTACAGTGTGGGAATTTGGATGACTCTGTTCTGCAGTGCCTTTTGTCTCTGCTAAGCTGTCTCAACAACCTCTTCCTCTTACTTAAGGTTATTTTCTAATATCTAGCTCCTTTGTTTGAGTTACTTTATTATTTTATTTTCTTTTTTTTTTAAACGACTATTCTTTGCCTTTGTCTGACTGTCTTCGTTTGAAATAACATATGTAATAAAGACTTTTTTCTTTCTGCTTGCCTGAACATCTTTCTGCTATCTAACTCCTGTTTGAGTCTAATGCCAGAAGTTGGGAAAGTGGCGCTCCTCTCGGTAACGTTTCTCTTGAGGAGCCCAGCAGTTTCCCTGTCAAGCGTGTCTAACCCATGGTCTACCTTTTTTTTTTTCCCCTTCATTTCTTTTGGCCTTTGTTTATTCAAATGTTATAATACAAAATATTTTTATGAAGAAAGTTTTCTTGCTTATGCATATTAACTATATTATATATTTTGTATGTGGCTCAAGATAATTCCTCTTCTTTCAAAAAATGAAGGCCAAAAAAAGGCAGGCCACAGGTCGGACATGTCCATGTCTTGTTAGATTAGCTAATGGGATGACTAGTAATTCAAATCGAAGGAAAACTGAGGGAATGCGAGATTGAATCACTTACCCATATCACTGAAAACCGTTGTGTAAACTCAGCTTTCTGAAATCTAGGGCAGGTCTATGTCGTGTATGCATCAGGCTACATCCTAATTCACCATAAGGAAAATTTTAGAGATCCAGTAGTGCAGAGACAGTTTTAGTTAGGTTCGTTACCAGGCCTTGTATTTGTTTAGATGTGCTTGCACTCCAGGTATTTAGATGGGCTTGCACTTCAGTTACGACATTTCGAATCGTCATTTTGCCATGTGTAATACCCAGAGTATTTAAATACTCAGTAAATGCCTACTTTAACACAGTTTAAGAAAGGTGCTTTATATTTATCACTTGCTTACCCATACATACCTTGACCACACATTCTACTGAAGACTAAAATGGGTGGTAGTAGGCAGTTTGCAGGAATGCTTAAGTATGGCTCCTTTGTTACCAGAGCAAAGGTGGGGCAGATTAGAAGGATGGCAGCAGCATGGGTCCCTGTTAGCCTGTGTGGTTGTAGTGTGGCTGGACAGATTATCTGGTTTTAGAACTTTGGCTACAGATCAAACAGAAAATTAGACCTAAATTTCTTCATCTGTAAAAGGAGCTTCAGTGATAATTTCTGGTCTGTATTCGCTCATGTAGTCTCTTTTTCTCAGTTAGCATTTGATTCTCCACAGGCCAGAAGTTTATTCTCATCTCTTGTTTTACTTTCTTCTGCTTCTTGCCTTCTCCTCTTTCACTTTATTGATACTTTCATCAGAGTCAATTAGGAAACTAAAGGATTATGAAATCTATACTGTCAGAGTGGTCAGGCAACTTGACCCTGTTGTCACAGGAGAAAAGACAAGGGGCCTTGAGAGTCATAAAAATGATACAGAATGATCAGTTAATGTAGTATCGAAAAATACCCGCTAACTTTGTCAACAAGGACACCTTTGAAGACACTGAAAGTCACATTTCAGCCAAGTGGTCAGAAGCTGCATTGCAGTGGATCGGGAGTTGCACAAGAGTTTGGTGAGCCTGAACAGCCTGAGGAGAGTGAAAAGAACGTGGGGTTGAAGGAAAAAATTTGGATAGAAGGCTAAAGAAAGACTTGAAGGAGACAAAGAGATGAAAGGAAGAGGAGGAAAAGAGAAATTGGGTGGGATATAAAAATCGGTGGTAATTGATAAAGCACAGTCCCGGGGGGAACAGATTAAAGTAGAAACTAGAGCATAGATTATAGGATTACATAAGAAATAATACTTCCAGTGTAACAAAAAAAAAAAAGACAGATGTGAATGCTGTTCATTTTGTTGTTGAAAAGTAAGAAACTGATTGCTTTAAGACTTAAAATCAGAAGTAAATTGGACCGTAAAGGAATCTGGGGGGTGGGGGGGGGTGAGGACATGGACTAACTCAGGTGCAACAAGTTTTACTGATTTTGAAATGGACTATAGGAGAGTTCCAGTCTGATGACTTAATAAGGCAAAATTTTTAGCTAGTAGTGAGCAGAATGGGTGAAAGATTAGGAAGTTTCAGGAGAGAGAAGTAGGCATGAAACACATCCTGGTGAGGGTGGGGGTTGCAAGGTTGAAGTAAGACAGTAAGTGTGTTGAGCAGTGTTAGATGCCTACTTGAAGTTGGAGGTTGTAAATTTAAACTGAAAACAACATGCCTAATTATATGATTGTTTTCACCAGTGTCCATCCATTTACGTGTAAGCACAGAGAAGGCTGGTGAGAGTTTCATAGGTTCATCTAGGCTTGGGTTTTAATAAGACATGGACAAGGGGGCCAGTGAAGTTAAAGCTTTAGCGTAAGGATTATCATCAAAGTGGTTTCTGCAGTATGGAGTAGATGTGAGGGATGAGGAGAGAAAGGGGTCCTCACCATGGAGAAAGAAAATGATGAGACCAGCAGAGGGGGGTCACAGTGAGGGTGAAAACTTGAAGATTCATGCATTATTCAGTTGCTAGCAGTGAAGTGCAGTGAAAAAATACTGGCTTAGGAATCTGGAAAGGTGAGTCTAGTACTATTCATGTCACTTGCTAGTTTTGTAACTGTTTGTCATTTAGCCTCCAAATTTTGTTTTCTTCATTTATAGAACAAAGCTGACAATATCCACCTTGTTTTCTTTGAAGGATCTTATGGTGAATGAATGAAATAGCATAAATATGCAAAAGGGCTTTGTGAACTTTTATGTGCTATACAGATGCAGTTTTGTTTTGTTTTGTTTTTTTGGTACCGGGGATCGAACTTGGGACTTTGTGCTTGCGAGGCAGGCAGCAGAACCACTGAGCTAAATCCCTGGCCCTCAGATACAGTATTTTTATTATTCCCTTATTAGGGAAGGAATTGTCCTGAATCTCCAGAGTATCTTCAGTGTGTTGGGAGGTTATCACTGTTTACTTTGGCTTAGTCACTAGGGAAGTGCTTTTGTGGGGAAGGAAACTAGAATCTGTCAGCGCCAGTACTGTGACTTCCTCCGAAGAGTTAGGTCTATCCTGCGCTCCAAAGGATCTCAAGTAACCCCTGTCAGTGGTGCTTTCAGGTGGCAAGGTGAATTTGATTCTGCACGTATGATAAAGCCAACTAATTGGCAGTAAGCAACATGAGTCCTTTGGACTGTAAATAAAAACTTTAATGAACTGGGTACTAGATGTGGGAAAAAATACTTTCCCAAGCCCATAATACAATAAGTCCCCAAATTATGAACAAGTTCCATTCCAGGAGAATTGTTCGTTAGTCAGTTTCCTTCCTCAGTGATCGTAAGTCGGGCACTTTTACTGTGTAAGGATTAATGAAATGTTCCCTTTGTTCCTTCAGAGAATTTCAGGCCTGCCTTTGGAACCTCCTTTCTCCACTAATACTAATATTACTCAGTCTCATACTCAGGAAGTGTTTGCCCAAGTGCTGCTGCTGTGAAGGGAACACTGGTTTCTGCAGAAGAGCCTCTGAACCATTTTTATGCCTTGGACTTTTCAATAATTTGGTGGTTTCCAGACCCTTTCTCAAAATAATACTTTAGATTCATAAAATGAAATACAGTATATAGTTATTTAAAAATTGCAAACCGGTGTAGTGGTGCACACCTGTAATCCCTGCACTCGGGAGGCCAGGGCAGCGACAAGTTCAAGGCCAGCTTGGGCTGTATAGTGAGATCCAGGCCAGTCTGAACCACGTAGTGAAACCCTGTCTCTTAAAAAAAAGGGAAAAGATCACAAGAGCCCTGAAATACTTTAAAAAGTGATAAATTTATTTATATATGTGCTTCTGCATTAACAAATTTAATAAAAAATCTAGTGATATGCACCATTTTGAAGTCAGGGTAATGTATCATGCATATATAAAGTTAGCTGTAAAATATGGGAAAGTATGAAAAATGTCACAAGTGCAGTTCACCTTGCTGTAGTTTGTTACTTACACTTGAAATTGAAGAAAGTGCCTCATGTAGAACTTAGTGCAAGTGAAGGTTAATTTTGTTTTGTTCGAATTCATGGATCTCTGAATTCTGTTTTAAAAATAACAAAAACCTTGGAAGGTCTTGTGGCCCTCGGGACAAGACCTGCTGCTCTAGAGTGAAGGCCAGGTGATGATTGGATTGTTGCTCCTTCTGTCAGTTATAGTTTGGTGTGATAAAATCTTCCCTTTGTTATGGATTTCTCTTTTCCTAGTTTTGGTTGTTGTTGTTTTTGTTTGTTTTTTGCAGTACTGGGGATTGAACCCAGGTTCATACTGAGCTACATCACCACCCCTTTTTTATTTTTGTTTTGAGGCAGGGTCTCCGTAAGTGGCTAAATTGCCCAAGCTGGGCTTGTATTTGCCATCTCTTACCTCTCCTCCCACAGTGCTGGTTACAGACATGTGCCACATGCCCACCTGGGTTTTTTCTTTATAAATTTTGATACTGTGTTACTTGATATGTCCGAATCTACCTAGTGGGTACACCCATTTATTATTACAGTGCATTCCTCCAGAGATGCTTCTTTTTTCTTACAGCCTTCTTTTTCTGAGAGTAGTGTAGCTGGACCAGCTCTTTTGGTTGCAGTTAACATGGCGTATCTTTTTTTCATCCTCTTAGTAATAGCCTGTTTGTGTTTTTACATTTAAATTGTGTCTTAAGGGTCGGGGATTTAGCTTAGTGGTTCCGCCGCCTGCCTGGTGAGCACAAGGGCCCGAGTTCGATCCCCGGTACCATGAATAAATAAATAAATAAATAAATAAATAAATAAATAAATTGTGTCTTAAATAACATATCATTGAAATCTCTAAGATCAGACCTATCTTTGTATTTTAATTGGTGTAGTCTGTTTACCTTTTATATAATTATAAATCTGAACTTAAGTCTGCCATTTTTCTGTTTGTTTTCTAATTATCTCACCTATTTTGTGTTCCTTTTTCTTTGACCTTTATTGGACCAAGTTTATATTTTTTGGTTTTGGTATTTTTTGACTTTTTCTTTTCCTCCTCCTTTGTAGCTTGTTGCTTATAACTTCTTTTACTTTTCTACTGATGGACATCCTAGAGATTACAATGTGCATCCTCGATTTATTTGAGCCTAATATAAATTAGTAATTTTACTACTTCCTAGATAATGCCAAGACCTCAGAATACCGTCACTGCATTTATCATCACATGCCTCCCACATTTGTTTTGTTAGTGTTCATGAAGATACACCAATATTTATCCAGATTTCTATTGAGCTTTCTTTCCTGTATCTTCATGCTTCATCCCCCAGTTACTTTCCATCTGCTTAAAAAATAGCCTTTACTGTTTAGTGTGTTTCCTTTGAAGCAGGTTTGTTACTGATGGATTCTGTTCTGTTTTGTTTTGTTTTGTTTCTATAAATGTCTCTATTTCACTTTTATTTTTGAAAAATATTTTCAGTATATTATAGAATTCTAGGATGGTTTTCCTTGAGTAATTAGAAGGCGTTGTGTTTTGGCTTCCATATTTTTATATTATGAAAGTAGCTGTCAGTGCCCAGGGAATTTAACCCTTTTTCCTTTGGTTACTTTTAACCATCTCTTTTGTCTTTGGTTTCTAGTAGTTTTCTGTAATGTCCATGGGTCTCATGAGCCTCTGTAAGATTCTGTCTTCATTACTTTAGCTTATATTTGCCGGTCTGTCTCATCTGTTACTAAAAATGGTGAAATAATCCCATGGCAAATTCCACTGAGATTTCATCATTGTAGCTTTACCTTCCAGTTAGCATTACTATGAACATTCCTCATAAAATCGAATCTTAGAGATGGCTTATCAGAGTCAGCGAGAAACTGGAGGCAGATGATTCCTCCTATTTGTTTTAACAAGCATGTGGGATTCTCCTCCTCACTGAAACTGGTATGCACCTCTCTGCTCTATTCCCCACAGTCACCTTCGTTTAGAATGGAAAGGAATCGCTATTTCTCTGAAATTCCTTTGAATCATTTATCTTTAAATGTTTTCACAGCCAATAAATAACAATGTTTTAGTAATGTAGTTATTTAATCTAATTCAACTGAAAGTAAGTATAGAACCCATGGAATAGGATTGAATAATATAGTGGAAATAGTTCAGAACTGCAGGATTTCAACCAAGCCACTTAATCTTCTGAACCTCAGAAATGGTCATGAGAAAAAAATTAAAAAATGGTCATGATAATATCTATTTTACAAGACTGCTATATTATCAAATTGTTCATTTGTACAATTTGAGCCACTAATTTCCATCCTTTGACTTTTTCAGTGACTGATAAGAATTTTTGTTGTAGTTATATGAGATGTAACTAAAAATAGTTGTATTTAAATTTTTTAAATTATTACAGTAAAAAGCACATTGCCATAAATCCCCCCTCAGAGTCCTCCCTCTCGCTTTCAACACGTGTCCCATTTTTCTTGCCACTTTCTAAAGCAGTTCCTGAAGTCCTTTTGCATGAGCATCTTTCAGGGGGCTGTCACAGCTTCCTTGATGTCTCGAATCAGTTCAAAATGTTTACATTTCATCAGGGTCGTTTTTGTTTTTTTTTTGGTACCGGGGATCATCAGGTCATTTTTAACTTTGGAGAAGAGCCACAATTTTGCACACAAATATAAAAACTCAAATGAAATGAAAAAAAATTCTACCCAAATATTATCTAGCTTCCACCTTTGTCATGAGATTTCTTTTGATTACTTTAGGTTTTTTGTTTTGTGTTTTCCTTTCCTCCAGTCTCTTTTGCCTACTCCTTTATTCGGTATTCTATAGATTCCAAGTGAAAGAAATCCAATTCAAAATAGTTAAGCTGACAAGTGGTTATTGGTGGAATGTGGGAATGATGACTAAATGGATGGAAAAGCTACGGGACAGGGACAGTTCCTGGGACCCTGACCAGTTTCCCTAGTGCCGAGCTGTTTATGTCATTGAAAGCTCTAAAAGATTCGCCATTTCTGCCCTAGTATTTCCTTCCACTTTCGCCCCCTCTCTCTAATCCTTGCTTCTCACTTTCCTGTGTTGACTTCATTCCTACCACTCGTGGTCTCACTTTGTGGTGAGGCAGCTCCAGGTTTACTTTATCCCAGTTTAGTGGGGCTATTCAAGGCATCTGAATCCCAGGAAAATATTTTGTCCCAGCTTCAATTACATTCATGTCTTCTAGACCAGTTATTCTAAGTAGGGATATGAGGTGCTGTTAGACCAAGGGTAGTGACCACCCCTGGGTGGGAGTGGGAGGAGTACTGAGTTTGGCAGACCCACCAAAACCACGAAGGATGGCAGGGAGTGAAATTTCACGAGAAGAAAGAATGTTGGAAGAAAGGGATAGAAAACAGCACACGTAAATGCAGGTTTCTGGTAAGGCTTTATCCTACATTTGGACCCTTTGCAATTGTGAATTCTTTGATGGATGCCAAAGATTCTAGAGTTAGGAGTCAGGCACCTTGGAATTGGGTCCTGTTTGAGTTCTTTATGGCACCTTGCACACAACTAGATGCTCAATAAGTAATTGTTTATTTAATTCCTGTTTGGAATTCAGTACTTTTCATTATTTTGGTTTATTTTAGTCATAGTTTTAGGTAGATACTGTCTTTTCCACTTTTAGTTTTGGAGTAAATTATTTAATACTTGCTTGTGTTTAGTTAAATATCTTAACAGATACAGTTGCTGATAACTTGGTTGAAATATATATGTATATGTATATATACATATATATATATATAATAACTGAACAGAATTCCTCTTTTAATGTTATTACAAGGAAAGTATTCTCCTGTATTTAAATGAATTGCTTTTTAATTGAAAATGCCATTCCAAATTAAAGAATTGGTTTATTAAAGATTCTGTGTTCTTGAGAAATGAATTGATATGAAAGTAGATGATTTTAACATATATTTGTCTCAATAGCTGCTTGGCTTAAATACTTGTATTCAAGATTTTATCACCTAGATTTTTAAAATTTAAATCTTTAGTTTAACTTTCTTTAGGACTTTTGTCTTTTAATGTGAATGTCACATTAGATAAGATGAGGATATTTAAATCATTAAAGTATTGATTTATTTCCACTTTATCCTTAGGAACTGAGAGAAAGCTACAATACACAGCAGCTAGCCCTTGAGCAGCTTCATAAGATCAAACATGACAAGTTGAAGGAAATTGAAAGAAAGAGAGTAGAGCTAATACAGAAAAAGAAGCTAGAAGATGAGGCTGCAAGGTAATATAACTGATAAATTTATTATACTTCATTGCGAGCAGAATTCTAATTTTGTTGGCTGTACCTTTAGCTTAACTATGGAAATTTAAGGGGAATAAAAAATTATGCTAGGATGCTAATCATACTCTAAATTTTATAAATTCAGTCCTCCTTTTCAGTCATGAATTTTATATTTTGTTAGTAAAAAACAGAAGTTGGAGTGAGACCTGAATTAGAATTCATCTAGCACTTAATAACTGGGTATCTGTGGTTAAATCATTTCTTTCTGAACCTCAGTTTCTCCATCTGAAAAAAGACATCAATACCCACAGTTCTAATAGGTAATAATGAACATTAAATCATCTAATATAGAGCATAGTATAATATCTTGCACGTAATAAGCACTCGTTAGTTCTGTCTTCCTATAGTAAATCTATTACTTTTTCTGGAAGGATCATAACCAAATATTTAATTTTATAGAAAAAGATTGTGTGTCAAATACTGTATTGATGCATTTCTCTGTATGCCAGACAGACAGTATATTGATTGTCTACATCTATGGTAAATTCTTCAGAAGTAAAATACATGGGCTATCTGAAGCCTAGAACCGTTCCTTTAGTGATTTCACATGACTTTGTCTGTCAGTAAGATCCTTTTTTCTGGCCAGATGTGGTGGTGCACACCTGTAGTCCTAGTGCTCCAGGAGGGTAAGGCAGGAGGATCCCAAGTTCAAGCCCAGCCTGAGCAGCTTAGCAAGACCCTGTCTCAAAATTTAAAAAATTTAGGAGGGTAGTTCATTGTGGAGGCCCTGGGTTCAATCCCCAGTATTAAAAAAAAAAAAATCCTTTTCTGATATAGTCCTCTCTTTCTCCCAAGCTATCTAGTGTCATAAGTTAGTATACTTAGTTAACAAATATCAGTGAGCCAACATTTCTTTGCTTTGGTGAAGAGTAGATGAGTAATGTCTGCAAACAAGCTGGTAGTTACTGAGGAGGCAAGAAAGACAGACTACTAGTTTTACAGCCTTCATCCTTAATGATCTCAGAAAAGTGACTTCCAGCACATTTTTATTGGCAGACTACTCTGTGTAGTCTGTGTTGCAGGTAAACCCTGAATTACTGTTTGCTTCTGGAGTCCCCATAATTATAATGCGGAATTCAGACAGTTCAACAAGTAGCTTGAATACTTTTTACTCTAAAATCCCTACTTTTGTGGCCTCCTAATGAGAGATAATAGAACACTATAAAGGGAGAGCCAGTGGGATTCTTCATTTGCCACCTAACTTGTGCCACTTAACATTCCACAAGGAAATTTTGTAGTGGTTACACAGCTAGTCACTATGTCAGAATTTTCTGTTGACACACAGTTATATTGGTAACTCTTCATTTCACTCACAGTTTCTTTAAGGCCAACAGACCATATGAGTAATACACATTTTCATTTCATTCATCATCCTTGCATATTATCTTACTGCAATGGAGGGAAAAAAAAAAATCAAAGAACAGAAGTACCTGTAGGATCTAATCAGTCGAGAGCTGGGTTTTAGTACTACATCTTAGTTCACTTGGCTGTTTGCTCAGGTACATCCCTTCTCATCCCAATTTACTGATAACAGGCTTCACATTGTAGATGTGGCCCCTTTTGTCTGGCTTCTGGGGTATCTTCTGGCACTGAACCAGTTTCTTATCCACTAGCTCTTGCATAAGAAAGTTTTACCAGAATTGAATGACCTCTCTGGTGTTTTGTTTGTCCCTCTGATATGTGGTAGATAACTCTGATAGTGGTGTTTAAATGCTATGAGAAATCAAATGAGGCTAATACAGCCATTGTAAGCTTGGAAGGGCATCAGGAAAAGCACAGGGGAGCTGAGAAAGTCAGCTGAGGGAAGTAAGGACGACCAGAAAAACACACTCCTCCAGGAAACCCAGATTTCAGTTACAGAAATCCCCTGGAGGAAAAAAATCCTGTGATGAAAAGGAGGGTACAGGAGGGTTTGGAAAGGGTTGAAGGAAGCTGGTGGGGTCTTCAGGAAACCAGAAGACAGTTTGGGGATGAAGAGAAAAGACTAATGATCAAGGGCCTACAAGTTTTGAATTATTTGGGGTTTCCAATTTTGATTAGGAATTAAGGAATAGGGACCTTAGAAGTAAGCCAGGGTTCCCACTTTGCAGGTGTATAAGTTCTCCAGTCCCAGGATGGACGGCTACAGTCTCCACTGCCTGGATCATGCCTTGAGAACGTACTAAATTTAGTGGTGGCCATTCTGCCCCTTAGGAAGGTCATAAAAATACATGCAAGGGAAAACTATGGTGTGCACTATTAGTTCTAACACTAAAATAATTCAGTCTGATCATAGGTCATCTTGACTGTCAGCTGGGCGTGGTGGTAAACGCCTATAATCCCAGCACTTGAGAGGATGGGACAGGAGAGCTGCTTTGAGTTCAAGACCATCCTGGGCTATGAAGCAAGACCCTGTCTCAAAATATAAATAAATAAACATCTCCACGCTCAAATGACATAGAAACATGCACAGAAGCATGGTTCCGTGGGCCTACAGAGAAAAGTTTTATCTGAGCAAGTGTAAAAGACTTTTTGAGAAGATAATTCAAAAAGCAAGTGAGCTTTTCAGAAGCATTTCCCACCTCCACAGCAGTAAGTCCCCACAGCAAGGACCAGAGAGGACAGGGGATAAAAGCTGGAAGGCAGGCCTCGTGAAGAATCTGGATGGAAAGATTTTAGATCTGTTTGCAAAATGGTTCCATTTTTTTCCCTCCTCCCCTCCTAGGGTTGGGAAGTTGGCTGCAGGGGGAATTTGAGGTGTGGGGAACTGTCAGTTATGCTCCACAGCTGACCCGTTAGCCCAAGGCTCAGTGACCGACTCCAGTTTCATCCAGCTCCACTATTTCTCCAGTCCCTCCACCAACACCTTGCTGCTAGTTCTCCAGCTACAGGAAGCAGAAGTCGTACTACATTTCTGTTTAGTGCACAGAAAGCATTATGGCATTGTGCAAACTGCTTTTGTTCTATTTCAAGGAAAGCGAAGCAAGGGAAAGAAAACTTATGGAGAGAAAGTCTTAGAAAGGAGGAAGAAGAGAAACAGAAGCGACTTCAGGAAGAAAAAACGCAAGAAAAAATTCAAGAAGAGGATCGAAAAGCTGAAGAGAAACAAAGTAAGGAAAAGATAAAAATGGATTTGATTCTCTTAAGGCAAAGCAACAATCTAATGAGAGATAGAAAAAGGAAAAACAAAGATGCTAATCTTAGAAAAAATAAAATTAACCTTGGAGGAGAAGTGTGTAGCCTCCTAAAACAGAGGGCAGAGGTCAACCACAGCAGGAGAAAAGAAGATAGTTTATCACTGACTACCTGAGAAGGCCCTGGCATAGTTTTCATAAGTACTGTATAAACAGTTTTGAATATTTTATTCAATCAGTATAACTAAGCTGTTTACTTTAATTAAACAACAGTAAAATTTTAAGTTTTTACACATTGAACTTTTCTCAGAAGCAATATTTGATTTTTGATATCCCTCCGAGGCCATTCCTATAGTGCTTTAATATGATTATGTCCTCTTTTGCATGCATAAACCTTTCGATTCATATTAACAGTACAGTGTGTTCAGAATTTCACAACCTAAAGCTTCTATTCTAAAAATGAACAAATAAAACATTTCTAATCTTATCAAGTCGAGTGGATTTCTACTATTTGACCTTTAGAAGCTCACTGGTAAATCTTCAGCCAACCGGGTTTACTTGTTGATGTCCTTGCTGACCCTTTGTGCTTTTCTTCCCGGTTGTGTCCTGACCCCCACAGAGGAAACCCTGTTTAATCCGCTTCCACTGTGCAGGGCGTGGCCAGGCGGGGCTCCCTCCCCGCTCTCAGATCCCCCTGTGTGCCTCAGCCTGCCTGGCTTCCCTGTTTTACTGCCTCCTGCCTTATTTGAGAGGAATATCCTTCTTTACTTTGTATTGATTATATGATTAGTTGGGACATTTAAGTCCTAACAAGTCTGTGTCCAGTGAATTTTCATTGTACCTTTTTGATGCTCAGTTTTTTCTTTTAGATTTTAAGAGGTCTTTATTGAGTCATAGCAAAGATGTGTATACATGAAATTAGCAGCTTATAACAATTACCTTCTCTTTAGGTGAGACAGCTACTGCTTTGGTGAATTATAGAGCATTATACCCCTTTGAAGCAAGGAACCATGATGAGATGAGTTTCAGTTCCGGGGATATAATTCAGGTAGAAAATAAAGTCTCTTTTCTCCCGAATAAGCTGAACATATTGTAAAGTGTTGCTTTCTGTAATAACATATTGACCAAAATTTTTTGTAGTTATTTTCTTAAAGTTTCATAAACATTGCTTCATTTGGTCCTTAGAACACACCTCCTGTGTAACACTCCTGTGCATACAGATCTGCATAGAACAGTTTTTATTACTACTATATTCTAGGCAAGGAAGCTTAGACTTGAACAAATTGTAACTGTCCACATTGCAGTGCCGGAGTGGAATGCAAGTATTTGTTTTTTGATTCCCAAGTCCAGTGTTCTTTTAACTATGCCATATTGCTTCACATTATGAAGGGGGGGTGCTGATCTTATTATTTTAATAAGTTAAAAATAAAATTTTGAAGGTGAGTGTGGTGGCATATGCCTGCAATCCCATCACTTGGGAGGCTGAGGCAGGAGAGTCACTGTGAGTTCAAGGCCAGCGTAAAATACATATTGAGACCCTGTCTCAGAAAAATCAAGAAAAGAAAAGAAAATTTTGAGGGACTGGTTATTTTGTGGTAACTGTTAAAAAGAACTAGAATTAGGTTCTGCAGCCCTAACTGGATATAGGTTGTTTGGTCCCTGGAACAAAGTTCTTTATTGTATTATCACAATCTGTACAGTGTATGAACAAGAGAAGATTTAGGGAGTCACGTTTGACGGAGCTAGTCTAATATAATGGAAACAGTATAGATTTTGGAAACTGCAAACTTGGGTTTTAGTTTCAGTATGGTATGTGAATTATCTTAACAGGCCATTATTTAAAATCAAAAAAGAGTTGAACATGCACCTTCCACGTGACCCAGCCATTCCATGTTAGGTATCTCCCCAAGAGAACTGAAAGTGTATGTCACATGAAGGGAAATGTTCATAGCAGGTTTTTTCATAAGAGCTAAAGACTGGAAACAACCCCAAAGTATGTCAGCAGGTGAGAGGATGAGCAAAGTGTGGCATATCCATACGACGCAATAACTCAAGCAATAGAAAGGCATGGAAGCCGTGGTGAATATCATTATGTACTGCAAACATGCATTAATAAAAATAAAAATCTGAAAAAGGGAATGAGTGATTTATACTCATTACAATGCGGATAGGTCGCAAAATAAGTTGAATGAAAGAAGGCAGGTAGGAAAAAGGACACATATTGTGTGATTTTATTTATATAAAATTCTAGAAAGTACAGACTAATCTATAGTGACAAAAGCAGGCCAGGATTGACAGTGGAACATGAGGAAACTTTTGGGGGTGATGGGCATATTCATTATCTTGATTGGGGTTTATTTATACAGGCGTATAAGTATTTTCTTTGTTTTTGTTTTTTTTTGGTACTGGGGATCGAACTCGGGTCCTTGTGCTTGCAAGGCAGGCAGTGGAACCACTGAGCTAAATCCCCAGCCCTGCGTATAAGTATTTTAAAACATCAAATTTAACATCTTAAATGTGAAATTAATGTTAATCATACCCTCAAAAGCTGTTTTTACAAACATTAATGGGTTTTATATGATTTTAATGGAAAGTGGAGTGAAGAGACACAGCTGCCATATTTATTCAGTGAAGTAAGCAGATATATACTGTGCTAGATGGAGTCAATAAAAAGCCTCACAGGCAAACAGAAGAGATGTGCACATAAGCAATACAATGTGATATGCTGTTTATGACAGTATATGTACTCCGGCCTGATTTGTGAGAAGTTAACAGTCTTCAAGGATCAGTAAAGATTACAATAATTTTAGGTACAAAATGGCTGGATGTAGTGGTGTACTTCTATATTTCCAGCACTGTGGGAGGCTGAGGCAGGAGGGTTGCAAATTTGAGCCTAGCCTGGCCAACTTAGTGACTTGGTGAGACCCTGCCTCAAAAATAAAAATAATTTAGAAAGGGGCCAGGGATTTAGCTCAGTGGTTTCGCCGCCTGCTGCGCAAGCGCAAGGACCCAAGTTCGATCCCCGGTACCAAAAAATAATTTAGAAAGGACTGGGGATATAGTTCAGTGTGAAGGCCCTAGGTTTAATCCCTGGTAACACATCCACGCATGCACACAGCCCTCAACCAGGTTAGTGAGAGTGGGTTTTAAAAAAAAATATATAGAAGTTTTTAGTGACCAAGTCCCGGGCTATAGAAGTGTAAGAGATAAGAGCCAAAGATTTTTGTTTACTTAGAATGACAAAGTGTGAGAAGAATGGAAATATAGAGCATTTAGGGGAAATAGTGAACTAGGATGCATGGCTGTGGAGGGAAGTTCAGTCTTAGACTTGAGTAGGAAAGTGCCATGGGACACCCAGGTGGAGCTATCTCATAAGGAGTGGGAAGCGGAGACTGTTTCTTCGGAAGTGAGTCCTAAGGACAGCGCTTTGGGATTCTTTTTACATGGGAAACTGATCACCTTGGAGGAGCAGGAGGGCCTGCCTGGTAGGGATGAACAGCATGAGGCAAGAGCGCAGCAGTGAAGCTCGCCGTATGTACCATTTGGAAAATAGTATTCAGAGATTCTGTAGTTAAGGGTTCAAGAAGGCTCTGTGATAGGAACAAAGAGAACTGACTCAACGACAAAGTAACAGTTAACTACAGAGAAATAAAAACTGCAAGAAAGGAAATGTAGTCTGCAGAATATCGCAAGACTCAGATGTTATTTACATAGTCATAACAGTATAAACATTAACTATAACTAAACAGGAATTATGATGTAACAGTATTGTTAGAGTAAGAGTACAGTGAAAGAGAGGTAGAGCTTTATTTTCCATAACCAAAAGCCAATAGATATTGTCTGCAATGGAATAAATTTTAAGAAATAGCAGTATCAACACATTGTTTAGAAATACAGAAGAAACCAAAAAGAAAGGCAAGTTACTATTTGCCAGTGGAAATCAGGGCCTAAGGAGCTTTGGTTTGGGGAGATTGTTTTCCATTATAAGCTCTGTATTAGGCTGTTGGTCTTTGCAGACTGTTTTCATATATTCACTTAGATAAAATAATAATTATTTTCTAATAATTTGTAGAAAAAGCCTTATCTATTAATAGGTTCAATTCTGAAAATGAGAGTACTGTACAGTAGTCTGCACCTTTTTCCATTCTAAATATGTGGGTTCTAAGCAGTGTTAATAACTCTTCTTTTTGCTTCCATAGGTTGATGAAAAAACCGTAGGAGAGCCTGGTTGGCTTTATGGCAGTTTTCAAGGAAACTTTGGCTGGTTTCCAGGCAACTATGTAGAAAAAATGCCATGGAGTGAAAAAGCTATGTCTCCTAAGAAGGCCTTACTTCCTCCCACAGTATCTTTATCTGCTACCTCACCTTCCTCTGAGTAAGTTTTGAGTTAATGGTGAAATTTCTGTCTCTGTCAATATGTAAATGCTAGTACGTAATTGTGTCAGCCTGATACTTTCTCATATTGCTAATTAGGGCTGGGCTTTCCCAAGAGAACCTTTTGTTCCCAATCTAATACTGAAATTTATCAGATGAAAACATGGGTCAGTAGTTTGTTCATGAATTCTTTTTTCCCCACAGATTGTGTTTAAACCTAGTGTATATGATATACTAGTAGATAAATTGATGGTGCTTCGTTAGGGTCTAAACAGTTAAATATATTAAAGTGTTATATTTACAGACCACTTTCTTCAAGTCAACCAGCATCAGTGACTGATTATCAAAATGTATCTTTTTCAAACCTAACTGTTAATGCATCATGGCAGAAAAAATCAGCTTTTACTCGCACTGTGTCCCCTGGGTCCATATCACCTATCCATGGACAGGTATGTGATGTGTAATTTTGTGTACTTTAGTCTGTGAATTCACTGTGATGCATATGAAACTGAATGAAGACTTTGTACAAAAGCATTATTCACTCATTTAACCAAAGCATCCATTTTTTCTTCTTAGCATGCACATGTGATGTGAAGTCGAAGAATGATCATTAGACAATTTTTAGTAATTAATTACCATAGTACCAAATGAAAGGGATGAGATTTGGGCTTGAGGAGTTTTTGTTTTTTCTAAAATAAGTAATTTATCTGAGAACCTTGGAACTTTGTTATATGCATTTAGCCTCTGAGTTAGATATAACCATTGCAAGTATTGTTATCTTAACATTTCTAAGAAGAAATCGCAGGCTTTATCACAATAAAGTCCTATAAGAGTCACCTTCATTCATAAATGTTTATTCAATAATTATAGATTCTCACATTCTATTGGGTGCTAGAAATTTAAGGAAAAATAAGTCAAAATTTGCTGCCTTTAATTCTTAATCTGTTAAAGGAGAAAAATATACAAATAACTATAGTGTATGAAAAATGTAATAAAGATTCTTACAAAGTCTGGAGAGAAAGGAGAAAACATCTTAGTCTGGGAATTGGAGTAGTCTTCACTTAAAGGAAGATATTTCGGTAGGGCCTTCAACGATAAGCAAGATTTCACCAAGCAGGAGTTATTCCAGTGAAAGAACAATGTGGAGAGTCACTGAAACACAGCAATGCAAGCTGTCATATTTCCCCCCCAAATAAGACTGAGTCTTATATTCTTTTGCTTCAAAAGACCCAATAGGGCTTATTTTAAGGAGATGTCTTATTTTTCATGTACAATAATTTACATTTATTCATGTACAGAAATCTACATTTATTCAAATACCATCATGTCCTCTTCCTCTGGAACATTGTCATAACTTCGGACCCCAAATCCCAGCCTGAATTTCTTGTGACTCCATTTCCTGTAGAACCATTGGCCCCATCTCTCATGTCCCGCTCTCCTTAAATGAGCACTTCTTGTCCATGCAGCCTGCTCACAGGGCATTGGCAGCACAAGTGTCACTGGTTTTCTCCCATAATTCCTCACCCAAGTCACCACCTCTTACAGACAAGGCTTCACAGCATTTCCATTAAATCAAGAGTTAATTAAAGACTTAGGAGACAGGAGTGGCAACAAAAATGATGACATTTAAGAATGATGGTCCACACAAAAGTGAAGAAAAATTGCAGGCACCAAAATTCAGAAAATGTTTCTTTATTTCATATGAGTGCATTAAGTATGTCTGTTACAATATACAATGTATTGAACTATGAAGATTCATATTAGACACATCCATGCCCATTCGTTATCAAGTGTGCATCTTATTCATGTGTTGTGTCTGTACTCGATTGGTCATTGGCAATAAGTCTCAAGTTCATCTGGGTTTTTTTGGGTTTTTTCAGGGTTTTTTTGGTACTGGGGATCAAACTCGGGTCCTTGTGCTTGCGAGACAGGCAGTGGAACCAACTGAGCTAAATCCTGGCCCAAGTTCATTTGTTTTTGTAGGTGTTTACCTCTCATTCAAAGGTGCCCACTTATGTATTTACAAATACTTAATTATAATTTCTTATTTAAGTAGTAATGTCAATATTTATTTATATTTAATTATATATCACATATTATAATTCACCATGTCTGTCATGTGTTGCAACAAAGCACATATGCGTGGCTGATGATCTTAACTGGGGCTTATTGTGGGAGTAGGGCTCGTATTAAAACCATCCTGAAAAAATCATGCTAGGGCTTATTTTCAGGGAAATACAGTATTTGTAGGAAATGGTAATTGCTTACATATAGCTAGAATACAGGATTCATAGAGAAATGGTTAAGAGGTAAAGTTGAGGTTTATTGATGTGCATTTAATACCATATTAGGCCTCTTGGCAGTGACCAGCCAAGAGAGGTTTTTAAGAGAGCGGTTGATAGTATGCTTAAGAAAAATAACTCTGGTGGTAATGTAGAGGCTGTATTGGCAGAAGGGAGCAAAGGAAGATTAGTTTACGGGGGCTGATACAATATCTAAGTTGTGAGATGTGTTGTGAACCAGTGCTGTAGTAATAAAAACAGATGGAATGGTATTAAGAATTGACATAATAGCCGGGGATTTAGCTCAGTGGCACTGCACCTGCCTTGCAAGTGCAAGTTCCTGAGTTTGATCCCCGGTACCAAAAAGAATTGACAAAATAGAGAGTTCATTGAAGGTGGAGAGTGAAACACAGTTGGAGTTAAAGATAATTCTTCAGTCTTTAACTTGAGCAACTGAAAGAAGTGTGATGTTGTTGTCTTTGACAGGCAGTGCTGGCAGTGGGTTTGTTGTCCTAACCCCTCAAAGTGATTGCATTTCATCTGGTGACTTGAGGTGTCCCCAGGAGAGACAACCAACTAGTGGAACGCCTAGTGTGCCTTTGATGTACAAGTTGGGAGCTCAAGAGATAAGGTTACACTGGAAAGTGTAGATTTATAGGCATAAATAAGATTACCTAGGAGGTCCTGTGGAACAGTAAGGGAAGAGGGCTGGACAAGAGGACCTCTTGATTATCAGAGGAGCTTCAGGAACTACAGCAGTGTCAGCAACGTTCAGAGGTCAAGGAGAGGAGGGTTTCGGAAGAAGCTTTTTGCTTTGCTGTAATTATTTGTAACCTTGTCTGGAAAAGGTTCAGCAGTGTGGTGATACAAACCCTAAATTGTAAGGATTGAAGGGTGACCCTGGAAAACAAGTTTAAGACAATTCTTTCTTTCGGGAATTTAGACACAGAGGAAAGAGAAAAGAGGGACTTGATTACAAAATACTTTTAAAATGTGAGAGGGCATAATAGAGTATCTAGAATACTAGTGAGGAGGTTAGCTTTGAATGTGTCCTTGAGCATTCACCGCTTGCCTCTGTACCAGTGATGTTTTCTGAACGGTGTTCCAGAAGTCTGCACCTGATTGGGTTGTCCCTCCTACATAATTGTAGGACAGGTAGTAGATTACCCTTAGGTCACCACCACACCAAACTCTGTTTAAACAGCAAATACATTACATCCTGGGAAGCTGACATCTTGGTAACCATGGTTATTTCATTTGTTTTTCCCTGTGTGTGGCTTTGTGTTCACAGGGGCAGGTTGTAGAAAACCTGAAAGCACAGGCCCTTTGCTCATGGACTGCAAAGAAAGATAACCACCTGAACTTCTCCAAGCATGACATCATTACCGTCTTAGAGCAGCAAGAGAATTGGTGGTTTGGGGAGGTACACGGAAGAAGAGGATGGTTTCCAAAATCTTACGTCAAGATCATTCCTGGGAGTGAAGTGAAGCGCGAAGAGTAAGTGTCTGTGTTTACATGAGACGTAGATGTTGGTGCTGTTGCTAACGAGGCAGCCATTGCGTGATGGACTTGCAATGATAAAAGCTTGGGTTTGAGTTTGGTACCCAAAAGATGATTCTCAGGGTGAAAAGGCACACTGCAGATGCTTGAACCAGTTTTAAACTATTCTTTTGATTTGTTTTTTTTTCAGATTCGTATAGTTTTCAAAGCATTATACTTGAAATTTTAGATGTATTGCTTTCTTGGTGCCATAAGCTCAGTTAGAGAAGTTATTTTTCATTTCATTTGGGGGCATTTCTCCCTTGTTTACTAAAAATTTTCAATCTTTAAGTAATACTTTCGTTGTTGTTTTGTTTCTGAGCTAGAGATTGAGCCCAGGGCCTTCACACTGAGCAAAGTCCCCAGCACTTTTCGTTACTTAGGTGGGGCTCAGACTTGTGATTCTCTTGCCTCCGCCTGCCAGGTGCTGGAATACAGGTGTGCTCCACCGCACCCAGCTTTCAAATAATTCCTGCCTGAGGTCCTCACCCTTACCAGCTTGGAGCACTGCTGCCTCTGAGCATCCAGGGTTCCTTAAACATAACGTCGCAATTGCTCATAGCTTATAGCATTGTAGTTACTGACTTTTTCAACCTCTACTGTTATTGAGGAACCTCATGGAGCTTCAGGTCCATCTCTTTTACGGTTGTCATTTATTTTTCAGTTTTTTCATGCCTAATACAATCTTAGTACATAATAACTATTGAGTTATATTAGCTCAGTGAGTGAAGAAAGAAATGATTGAATGAATGAATTTTCACATAAGCAAAAATCAAAAACTAGAGAGTTGAGATTTGGCCTTTATTTCCTAGTCTGTAGAAGAATTGAGTTATCAAATACTTTAATACAAAGAAATAACACCATAATGTGGCTGTGGGTAACTGTCTCGTGTTTCACATGGAAGCTGATCTTCATGGAAGAGCAGTCTGACATAATGGAAGGCACGGGCCTTGGGAGCAGGAGGCTTGAGTTCTGGCTCTGCCATGCTTGCCCAACCGCAGAGAAACCTGTGATCATCAGTGCTCTGACCAACTGAACGGAAAGAGTAACGAAATAATCTTAAGAATTCTTTCAGTGCTGAGTTACTACTTACCAGTATTGACTTCAAATGCAGGAATTTGCTTTTCAAATTGACATGGAATTTTGGAAGTGTGAAATAACAGTAACAGTAATAACGTAGCTGAAATTCATGTGCTGGGATTATCTTATTTAATCTCCATGTTACACAGAAGAAAACTTAAGCAGGAAGAGGTGAAGTTGACATGTTTTAGAGGGCATTTCTTCTAACTCTACATTCAATTACCTTTTCTTTCTAAAAGATCAGAGTCATGTAACTTGACAGCAGGCAGTAGTGGAGAACTCAGCACTAAACAGGGCGGGCTTCTCAGTCCTGGCCATGGGTTTTAGTAAGGTTTCCCTTCTGTTGACCTGAAAACCGCTTCGTTTACACTGTAAGGTTTATTCCAAGGCCCAGGGCCTGGTGCGTCCCACTGGTGTCCAGTCCGTGAACCTGACAGTCTTCCTGACTTCTGAAAACAGTTTTCCTGGATTAAAATGGAAATTAAAGTTACACCTGCTCTGAGATCTAAGGTTTTATTACTCATATATTTTAATGTAATATACTATAAACAAATAAAACCCGTATATTGCCCAAGCCAAGCCCTGTAAATGCTCTACCAAAGGACTGCCCACTTACTGATGTGCCAGTTTCTTTTAAGTTCCATCTGAAAGGCAGATTTTCTCACATTTGAGGCACTGTAAATCATACTAAGCTTACTTTAATGTAAAGTGTGAAAGTTTGTAATTATGTAGTTCTTTCTGCAGAAGGATTTTGTGTATGAGAGTATTGGTAGACTATACTGAGACTGTGAATTAATTTGAGAAAGCCCTGAAACAATGCACTGCTGAATAAATAACCGTTCTTGTTTTTTTGGTTATTTGTATCTTTTTCATTTGTTCCATTGTTGTTTCTTGTGGTGTATTTATTTGGCAGGCCAGAAGCTTTGTATGCACCTATAAATAAGAAACCTACCTCCGCAGCCTGTCCAGTTGGAGAAGGTAAGCTTTTTTTGGCAATCGTAAATTAAATGGGAGTCACTCTAGTGCCTCAGTATTTGACTTCACACATTGTTATTCTCCCTGTTTCTGTACCCTTGGCATTAAAGTTAGGAAAACATGCTCTGTCTATTCATATTAATGTTGAAGATACAGAGAAAACATGGCTTGGTACTTTTAGGAAGTCAATGCTAAAAAGTCAGCAAAGACTGGCTTAGTAAATAAGATTATAAATAAATAGTGTTCCGATGACTATACATTTTTAGGATGTAAGAAAACTTTAGTACATGTACTTGTCTACAAACTTGTTTCATTTATATTTGCCATATAAATTATTGGTTAAGATTTGGAATTATGGTACTCTATAAATACTGTAAAGAATGTTTTTGTATAGCCTTTTGAGTTTAGTTAATAAATTATTTTGATTTTGTTAATGTGGTGAAAAATGAAAGATTATCCACCCTAATTTCAGACCATATTTCTGTGTTTAATAGTTACATATATTTATAATTATTTAGGGTTATAATTCAATTATAGATTTATATTGAAATGTATATGTTCATTATAAAGTTGAATAGTTGAAGTGCATTCCATCAATCCATGTTTTGCTAAAAAAAAAAATCAGTTTAGTGAAAATTAGTGGGTTGTTTGGTTTGTTTGTTTTTGTTTTTGGTGCCGGGGATCGAACTCAGGTCCTTGCGCTTGCACAGCAAGCAGCGAAACCACTGAGCTAAATCCCCAGCCCTGAAAATTGGTGGGTTTGGGGGGTTTTTTGTTGTTGTTTTGTTTTGTTTTGTTTTGGTACTGGGGATCGAACTCAGGACCTTGTGCTTGCAAGCCAGACCGCCCAGTTTATTTTTTAAAAGAGAAATTAGTTTATTCAATATCTATAAGATTCTATGTTAGTGCCTAAAAGAGACAAGAATAAATAAGACATAATCTCTAAACCTCTCACAGTAGAAGGAGAGGCTGAGACGTGGCAGTGATGGCGAACTTTTCAGAGCTCTTAGCTCTAATCACCTGCTACGGCTTGTGTGCCTTAGGTTTGCCACCTCTGACCTGTAGTTAGGATACATTTCTATAATTCATGAACAAAAGCAGCATAGTCTTGAGTAGGAGCTGTGGATCCCCAGAGGGGCAGTGTTGCATCGTCTTCAGCAGCAAGCAGATGTTGCGCAGACACGGAGGGGACCCTGAGGTGCAGGTGATGCTGCAGGTGTGGGTGTTGGTGGAAGGGGCCTGCACCAGGACCTGGGGAGGCAGTGAAGAGCGTTTTGGAAATGGCCTTACTTACTGCACTTGATATAGACTTGGTGATTACTTTTATTTTTGTTACATCAACTAAATTGAGTAATACTGCGAACCTGAATGACAAGTAGGCTGTAGATTGTGTTTCTGATCATCTGTACTATATGATCAAATTACATGTTGGCAGATAGAAATAAGACTAGAAGAGAAAGTTAAAGATATCTGAAATCCAGAAATAAGTTTCTTCTAAGTAGTAAAAATCACAGGAACAAAAACCAAAGCCAAGATAGAAACGTATGCATTTCCCTCCAGGTTGTTCATTGGCAAATATTTATTGAGCATCTGCTTAGAGCCAAGCACTGTGCTGAGACCTAGAACATTGTGCTGGAAGTTGGTTTCTAGATATTGACCATTTCATAACTATGTAGATAAAAGAATTAAAGAGCAAAGAATTTAGCAGCTTCAAATATATTTCGTATAAGGTTAAAATTTTTTTCTTATCTTGACTTCGTTATCTTTAGAGAGACTTAACCTCATTAAGCCTCAATTTCACTGTCTGTAAACATACTAATACTGGTTTGTAGTTTTAGATAATTCTCAGTGATTAAAACTAACAATAGAGGGCTGGGGATTTAGTTCAGTGGTTCCGCCACCTGCCTCACAAGCGCAAGGACCCGAGTTTGATCCCCGGTACCAAAAAAAACAACTAACAATAGAGGTGGGGAATTTAGCTCAGTGGTGCTGTGCTTGCCTCACAAGCGCAAGGTACTCAGTTGGATCCCCAGAACTGAAAGGAAAAAAAAACTAATGATGGTAGCAAAGCAACTCCGGGAAGAAAGAAACCCCATGATAAAGCTTTATGTTAAATCAACCTTTTTCTTAACAATTATTAAATAATAAGTGCTTTTGTTCCCTTTTCTACCTTCAGATCTTTCTGTTTTGTTTTAATTTTTGAGACAGTGTCTCACTGTGTATCGTAGGCTGGCCTTGAACTGGTGCTCCTTCTGCCTCAGCCCCCCAAGTATACTGGGGTTACAGGTGTGCACCTCCAAGCTGGGCCTTTCAGATGTGTGTGTGACGTGGTGGTGGTGGTGGTGGTACTAGGGACTGAGCTACATCCCAGCCCTTCTTTGTTTCATTATCTTACATTTTGAGACAGGGTCGCACCGAGTCACTGAGTTGCTGGGCTGGGTTCGAGTTTGCGATCCTTCTGTCTCCAGTCCCCAAGTGCTAGGATCACAGGCCTGTGCCCCACACCCGGCTCAGATCTTCTTATACTGGAGGGACAAGGTCCCTTACAGTAAACATATATGAGATCTTACAGATTGACCTAATTCCTGTTTTACTTCCGAAATCTTCCAATAAAAATCTACTTTTGCTTTGTTCCCTACAGAATATATTGCACTTTATCCATATTCAAGTGTAGAACCAGGAGATTTGACTTTCACTGAAGGCGAAGAAATATTGGTGACACAGAAAGATGGAGAATGGTGGACAGGAAGTATTGGAGATAGAACTGGAATTTTTCCATCAAACTATGTCAAACCAAAAGATCAAGAGGTAGAGTTATGTTGGTATTAAAAACAGAGTCATGCGGGCTGGGGATTTAGCTCAGTGGTTCCGCCGCCTTCCTCCCAAGCACAAGGTCCCGAGTTCGATCCCCGGTACCAAAAAACAACAGAGTCATTCTGTTCTTCTTGCTCATGATTCATACTTAAAACAGAGATTGCATGTATGGCTTTGGTCAGCCTACTTTGGTTACAAGGAAGCCACTCAAGGTAGCTCTAATGCCATAGATTTTATTATAAGGCTCCAGGTAGAAAATGAGGGGAAGGGAATTTATGACATTCTAGGAGCAAGAGTCAGAGGTAAGGCTGAGCCTTGTGATAACTGGAGCTAAGGAGTGGTTCTGTACTCATTGGCATTTATGGAGGGCCATGTTCAAGGAGTCTGTAAATCTGTACTTTAAGGCGATAACATTACTGTAACTCATGCTGCACTCTAAGGTTCCTACTGCTTTTCATTCTGCCACCCATATGATATAAAGCAGTTCTCAGACTTGCTGGATTCTTAAAAATTACTGGGCTAGACATGGAGGCGCACACCTGTAGTCCCAGCACTCTGGGAGGCTGAGGCAGGAGGATTGCCGAGAGTTCAAGGCCATCCTAGACTACATAGCAAAACCCTGTCTCAAAAAAAAAATTATTGAGGACCCCCAAAAGGGTTTTTTTAAGTATATATCTAGATATAGATTATATTTAATAATATTTACCATATTAGAAATTAGAATAACCATATTAAAATAACAAGTTATTTAAATATTAATTCACAAATTTATAGCTAAATCCATTATATGATAACAGAAATAACTTTTATGAAGAACAGCTATTTTTCAAGAAAAAATTTAGTGTGACATTATTTTATATTCCTTATATCTCTTTAATGTCTGGCTTAATTGAAGATAACAAGGTTCTTAAATCTATTTCTATATTCCATCTATTATGATATATTCTTTTGGTTAAAATATATAAGGACAATTCTACCTCATACAGATATGGAAGAAAATGGAAACATTTTAGTAATTCCAGATGTCTGTGAATGTTCTTTATTCTGCTGTACCAAAACTTGACAAATCCTAAATTACTCTGGGCTCATTACAGCATGGACTCTGAAGCCACATCAGTGAATATTGCTTACCGTTACATTAAAATTCATTAGTCTGTTTTGCACATTGAATGGGTTTTTTAACCCATGTGAAATGTGCCGTCATTCACTGTTCATTTGGAAAATATTGAATCACTGAGTTATGCAGATGTTCCCTGTATTGACACATTTCATTAAATGATGTCAGGAAATCACATTGATTAATACCACCAGTCATCAAAAAGGTCTGGGAAGCTGTCATTTCACAGTGGTAGATAGAAGTTTTCCAAGATTTTTCTTTTCTTATGTAAGTTTGAATTTTATCATTGGCAGTAAGTCCTGCCACCTATTCTCCTTTCAATGAAGGGTTTACTTCATTCATTTTTGAGAAAATAATTGCTAAATCCTAGGTCTAAATAATTACCTGTCTGTTCTTTGAAGTAGAAATGTTGTTCCATGAAAACAGCTCAGCACACAATTTGTTCACACAAGTCCTTTTCCTTGAGACAGTCATTGTACTTTCTATGCTGCAGAAATGTTTGTTTTTGTTTTTGTTTTTGTTTTTTTGAGACAGGGTTCTCACTGTATAGTTCATGCTGGCCTTGAACTCACTATGTAACACAGGCTAACCTTGAATTTGTGGAGATCTTCCTGCCTCGGCCTCCCAAGTGCTAGGATTACAGGGATGCCCAGCTGCAGCAGAAATGTTTTTGGCACACTTCTGTTTAGTCACACAAAATCATTAAAGATGTGTACTCAAGGATTAAGGTTTAATAAAATTTCCAGTATCTTATCAAGGACATTCTTAAGTGAAACTGGCTTTTTTTTTTTAATTTTTTTTTTTTGCTGTGAGTACGTGGTACTAAAGAATACTATGACTAATAGTGTAATTTGATCCCACTGCCTTGATTCATACTGAAGTACCAGTGGGGCTTGTTTGTTTGTTTGTTTGAGGCAGAGTCCTGTAGGTAACCCAGACTGGCCTCGAGGTCACAGTGATCCCCCTGCCTCCCAGCATGCTGGGATTACAGCCTGCGCCACCACACTCAGTCCAGCACCAGCAATTTATTCACTGTCGTAAAGGTCAGCACAGTGAAAAGTGCACACTGCCTTAGGGTTATCGTGAAAGTTACTTTCATCCCACAGACGCTGGGAAGGGCCCAGTGCCTGCTCCCGGGATGTACCGGTCACTGCCGAGAACCATGATTTTAGTGCATCAAGCAGCTGGGTTGTCGCCTGGCTGTACCGCTGAGAAGCGGGACTTGGACAAGCCACTTCACCTTCCTGTGCCTCTGTTTTCTTTTCCGTAAAATAAGAGTGATCATGATTACTTAATAGTGTTATTATAGAAATTAAACAGGTAAATATGTGTAGCCTCTTAAACCAGTGCCTGCTACATAGTACTCAAAGAATGTTAGCTTGAGACTCCCAGCAACTCTGCTTAATACTTCATGGCACCTATGTACACTAACGGAAAAAATATTCTTTTTAACTCCTTTCCTTTTTTGAGTGAATGCCTTAAAAATAGGAAATATGATTGGCCTCATTTATATTTTAAAGACAACAAAAACTTGAGTTGCTACCCATGGTATGATTATTTTTGTTCTTAAATCAGGTTCAGTCAGTTTCGGGGTAGCTGGTAAAGATTAAAAGCATTGGCTCCGGCCTGCCCGAGCTGTAGATGAGGCCACGCTTTCGGAGGAGGGAGCGAAGCTCACCACCCTCATGCATCCGGGGCACACACTGCAGGGAGCGGCGATGCTGACCCTGCTGCTGAGTACCGGGCCTTTGACCTAGATGGTCATGGTGAATAGTTCAGGAAATTCAGAAAGTGAGCTCGTCCTGTTGAGTCAGGGATGACAGCATCAGCAACTTGTATACAAGTATTCCGTTAGCAGACCAAACTTCCTGGAAAGTGGAGGATTTTTCACTTACTTAGTTAATGTAAGGTTCATTGTCATTTTGATACTCATTTAAAGGAAATCCTGGGGATTAGAATTCTTTCATTCCTAGTAAGCTCAGTACTTTTACATTTGGATTGTTGGAAATGATAAAAATAACGTCTTTTCCTTGTAGAATTTGGGGAGCACTAGCAAATCTGGAACATCAAACAAAAAACCTGGTATGTACAATAATGAACTTGAAAAATTATTCAGGTGTTTTCTCTGTCATAGTCTTGAATTCATAGTTGTGTTTTTCTTTTCAGAAATTGCTCAAGTAACTTCAGCATATGTTGCTTCTGGTGCTGAGCAACTTAGCCTTGCACCAGGACAGTTAATATTAATTCTAAAGAAGAATACAAGTGGGTGGTGGCAAGGAGAATTACAGGTAATATTCTTTAACATCTATCAATTTTATTATAAGAATAATGTATGCTCATAAAAAAGAAAATCAGTTAAAAATTTCTATCATCCATATGTGTAATTATTCCACTTAGAGTTAATCAGTAGTAACGTTTCATTGGATTGGATTTCCCTCTAATCTTTTGCTCATTTATTTTTAGCACAGTTTAGTTGATTAGTAGCATTTTAAAGAACAATTTTCCCTGGAGACATGATCGCTTTCGCATAGTAGACTCCTTACTAAACTGCAGGTCGTCTTAGAAGGAGCACAGTGCCATCTCTGCCGGGATGCCCACAGGAGAAAGACCTGATCCAGTCTGTGTGCTGAGAAAATTCATGAACTTAATTTGTTCTACAATTTTGGAAAAGATGGCCACGTTTGTGTTTGTGTGGGAAAGATGGCCACGGTCACATTTGTCACCTGATGCAGAGTTTGCAAACAAAAACAAAATTTTGCCAAATGCTTCTGTTTGCAAACCAAATTGTGCAAACAAGCATTCGTGAACCAAGGTGCCACTGTACTACCCATTAAACTGTTGCCAAGGAAATGTAGTGCAGACACGGAAGAGTCTTTTTTTCCTAAAATGTAGACAGACGGCTATTATATATGTTTTGATAAAGGAAGAGCATTCTTTTCTCACTTCTAAACTTTTCTTAGTGGTTACAACTTAGCATTTTAGGGTTAAAAGATGATCATGTAATAGCTGTATTTTTATATAAAATTAATAATTATTATAATACAGAGGATAAACATAGCTTCATTCTTGAGAGTCAGACCCTCAGGATCCTTCTTGGGAAGGATTAAAATTCGGTATCTTCTAGAATAACCCCCTGGATTTCCACCTTCTCTTTTCTTCTGAAGGTGGACCCACCTAAGTGGAAAACATAGCTCTTCACAAATTTTGTCTTTTTAATTATTTACAAACTTTCATAAGACATTTGCCGTGAGCTGCACCACTTTAAGTGTTGACTTGAACTTACTAGAACTCTAGAAAAATCTCTTAGATTATAAATATTATTTATGTGAAACATTCAGAGAACTCAGGCTGAACAACCTCTGAGTAGACTTCTGCAGATAGCATTTTCAGCAGCACTTAGATAGATTGTACTGAGCCTCCCAGTTGGTTAATGTTGAGCAAGGCCTCCAGGTAGACTAGGACACTTCCCAGTCAGCAAGCTCCAAGGGTTAGAGATTACCTCCCCGTAGCCAAGGCAAAAGCCAGAGCTGTATTTGAACAGATACAGGATAAGGATTTGGATAAATCTTTTATTATACAGTCAAGAGTTTGGTTTTTTTTAAAGTTATATCTCAATGGTCATTTAATCTCACCTTTCAGTTGTATATCCCTTTTGCTAATTTTATAGGCCAGAGGAAGGAAACGACAGAAAGGATGGTTTCCTGCCAGCCACGTTAAACTTTTGGGTCCAAGTAGTGAAAGAACCACACCTGCCTTTCATGCTGGTATGAAAGTGGGTTAACTTGTGTTTCATTAGAGAACGTTGTTAAAATTCATCAGCTTTTTAAATTATCTTTGAAAGATAGGAGATCTGTCCTTTTTACTGCTGCTTTAAAAGTAACATGCCGCTGAGAACGTCCCTCTGAAAACGTCTATGTAAGAACAACCAGCTGCTCATTGATACTTGAACTTCTTTACTCCTTGAAATGTTTCAACATGGAAAGGAAAGCGGTTCAGTTGAGTTGGGTGGGGAGTGTCATGCTATGTAATTCAGGCTGGCCTTGAACTCACTATGCAACCCAGACTGGCCTTTAACTCACTTCCATCCTCCTGCCTCAGCCTCCCGAGTGCTAGGATTATAGGCATGCACCACCACGCCCAGCAGTTCAGTTGGATCTTTAACTGGAATTGGTTAATGCTTGGTTTTGTAAGACAAGGAATGAGGGAATAAGGGTGGGATAGTTTTGATCCCTAAAGGAATAATTAATTTGTTATTCTTTTCTTTTTGATAGTGTGTCAGGTGATCGCCATGTATGACTATGTAGCAAATAATGAAGATGAGCTCAATTTCTCCAAAGGACAACTTATTAATGTTATGAACAAAGATGACCCTGACTGGTGGCAAGGAGAAATCAATGGGGTGACAGGTCTTTTTCCTTCAAACTATGTGAAGATGACAACAGACTCAGATCCAAGTCAGCAGTGTGAGTAATATCAAAGTATTTACTTCTTATCTGATATGAAAACTTTAATATGCAGTGAGTGTAACATTTATTACTGCTCTGGATTAGATCTTAAACTCAGCACAAACAGCAAATGTAGATTAATGTTTACAGTAGGACAAAACAAAAGGAAATGGTTTACAACATCAGAATTATGCTGGTTTGTTTTAAATATTTTTTGCTAGCTTCCAATCTTACTATGAAATTATATCTGAAATATGTATAATTTCTCTCTCGGGTCTTTTGGTATAATAGCCGTCTATACTGCAACTGCCCTTCACCACCAGCTTCTTTTTCCACCACCAGTGTTCTTTTCAGCTTAATAAAAAATAGCTAGTACTATAATTACCCTATTTGCCTATTCAGAATTATTCTTTAGTATTCAGGTGCCATTAATTTTGCAACCTTTTCATTATTTCCCTCATGCTTATTCATCGTCATCTAGGTTGGAAGGAAAATAACCTGTTTAAACATGTGAAACCTCAGTAATTCGTAGATAGCCACCTCATGCCACAAAAAGACGTATAAACCAAGGTCTCACTATTTTCAAAGCAGTGGGCCAAATCTGAAAGTGTTATCTCTTGGCAATCTCCTGTCCTTTTCTGTAGCTGACAATGAACACAATGTTAATAATATATTAGAGAAGAAATAGTACTTGTAAGTAATTTTTACCTTTACAAAATATCACTTTATTCATCTCTTATTTTTGTTTTTATGAAATAGGTCATGATTTATATTTTTATCACTTAGTGGAATTTTGAAAAGATTGAGCCTTTCATTTTAATTTAGTTCTGAGAACATATAAATGTAACTCAGTCAAAACTGAGATAACATTTATGATTCAGTGCTAGGTTTATAAAGTTATTTTATACCACATCTGTAATTTTATGCATTATTTTCATTTTAGAGCTTGAAAGATAGTTGTGAGAGAGGACGTCCCTTTAGTACTAAATTTTCCAGTGTGGAGGTAGTTTTTATAGTTTGAACATTCCCAAAAATGGTTCAGGGTTTCAGAAGAAATGGTAAAGAAATGATAACAGCTTGGATTGCCTAATGAATGACCATTTCTCAGCTCTACAGTGATTGGTTAGAAATCAGTTTAGAACTATCTGCAGCACCTTTCTGGAAGCTGACAGGGAAGATGTGTTTCAGACCTCCTATATCTGGAAGACCTTTGGCTTGTGATCCCAGGTGACTTTCCATGGTATCACTGCATTTTGGCTTCTGTAGAATCTATACTCGACAGTGATAGTTTTTAAAATATTTTGTTGTTATTGTCCTAGTGACAACCTCCTAGGAAAGTAACCTTCCCAGGAAGTTGAGTAACAACTTCTCATTCTTAAACAACATAGTAGGGAGCCGGGGATTTAGCTCAGTGGTTTTGCCGCCTGCTGCGCAACCGCAAGGACCCAAGTTCAATCCCCGGTACCAAAAAAAAAAAAAAAAAATAGTAGGTTGTCAGTAAATGTTTGATATAGAAAATAGATGGACATGAATTAGTTAGCAGAGGACACATTCGTCATACAAATTACTTTTGGCCAGAGAATGCCTTGTTTGCAGTTGTAATGTGGGTAGAGCTGACACACTCACTGCCTATCGACAAGAGCCCCGTCTAAGCAGTACTGTATCTAACAGAACTTTCTGTGGTGAGGAACAGTCTACACCGTCCACCACAGTGGCTACTAACCACATGTATTCTTGGAACATTTAGAATGTGGCAGATATAACTCAAACCCAATTTTAATTTAATGAATTTAAAGCAAAATAGTTACTTGTGGCTGGTAGCTACTATAATGGACATCACAACTCCAGAAGAGAGCCAGTTTAAAGCCCTGCCTGAAGTAAATCAGGGAAATAGCAATACTGAAACAGAAATAAGAAGAAAAAGAAAAGTTACCCTTCAGTCACAGCTGACCTACACAGTAATTTTAAAGGAAAATTCCCATGTCCTTTGGATTTTAATTTTTATCATGTTTTTGGATGTTATGTTAACATTCGTTGTACTGTTCAGTTAGCTTTGTAAATATGTTCTGTCCGTGACCACTATGTATGTACAAGCACTGGAAACATGAGCATGAGAAGACGGTTCTTGCTCTGAAGTAGTTTCAGAGTTTAGGAGGAAACAGATACTCAGATAAATGTAACTATTGCTTTACTAAATACTTATACAAATATGTAGTGGGAAAGACCCTCTAAGCTGTGTGGGGAAGAAGGCGTGTTGTAGTGCTAGGTATGTGAGCTGAGATGGGAAGCACAAGCCATGGGAGTTTGCCAGGAAGATGGGTGTTGGGGACGGGAGGAGGGTCCAGCTGCCTTCTTGATTATTTCATATATTGAGAGCTGGGAAAATAGAATGTTCAAGGGATTAGTTCAAAATAGGAATAATCTCAAAGTTCTCTTTGTTATAAAACTGTTACCAGTAACTTACCAATGTACCTTGTTTTTTGGCTGATGTATTTTTTTAGTTTGATCATCTCTGAAAACTGAATATGCCTAAGTAAGTGACCAAAGGTTTCTCATCCATCCCGGACTAAAAGAGTTCTCAATTCTGTAATTCTCAGGACAATTCCTAAATAGGCTCCTCTGAGAAAGTTTCCTATTCCTGAAAAACAACCCTTTACATAACCATCTACACACCTAGCAGACCAAAGAGTACCAATTTTGCTTATTTGAAATAATTATTGATCAGAAATTTAATAGTCATAATCGCTTTTTCAGATGTGGAGAATAGAGCTAATTGTATTGGTAGGTATTAAAATCATGTTAAGTTTATACACGCCTGTAATTTTAATAGGAAATAGTTCAGGAAGTGCTTAGTCCTTAAAGTTAGGAACTGCTATGAGATCTTCACTGCACCTACCTGGATTTTTACAGGTGATTGTCTGTGTGTGTAGTCTTTGTAGGCGCCGCAGAGAGCTGCCTGACTTACAGATTGCCATTTGTGCTTCCCTGGGCCTTACGAGTATTCTTCCATTTTATTATGTAACTACAGCATTCTTAAAGGTTGAGTTTTAATAGTTCGAATTTGTTTAGTTGATGTTGCATGTTATTATAAGTCAAATTTTCCTCACCCACCTAATTTATGTTATGTTCATTTTATTCCTCATTTTTCTTTTTTTAGGACCCAATGTTGCCTTCCAGTTGAGAAAGCACCCCAGAGACCCACTATCCAAGTTTGACTCTAGCCGGGAGGCAGGGCAGGCAGCCCTGGTCAAATGTCTCCTACGCAGTTCATTTACTTCGGTTGAATGTTAGAGCCACTTGTGATTATTTCTTTGTGTTTCTAACTTACAGTTAAATTCGTTTGTAACGAGCTCAAGGATAGCGGGTCTTTGTGTGGCTTTCCCTTCTGTTCACTCTGGCACCCTTAGCATTTTTCTTCTCGTTAGTTTGGCAATCGCAGGTCATTGCGTGCGTATCGAGTGTGCCCTGCACATGGGAGTTCACACACACAAAGACCCACTATTTGCACAGACCACCCTCTGGTCGGGAGTGAGCCGCCGTGCTCTCCCAGTGTTATTGCAGCGTGTATGTTCCTCACAGAGCTGAGATGAAGCTTGCCTTGTGTTCTGCTATTATGTTTGATCTAATCCTAATCACAGTGAGCTCTTAATTGGCCCAATCTATGACTTGCCTTTGAGTGCGCGCTGTTTTCTCTGTTACTTTCTAACATGCCACTATGAGTACCAAGATTTAAATTTGTTTAAATGCCAAGAACTGGAAATAATCTTTTCTCGAGGAAGGGGAAAGGCAGATGTTTGCAGAATGGGATATTTGAAGCCTGTTTAAATTGCCCACGTCTGAGTGCTATACTTTGGAAGTTCCTTTAGTATCTTTATGTGCTCTGGGCTAGTGAGGATTCAGCGTCATGTGCAGATAGTGTGACTTCCTTATCGATGAACTAAAGGTATCATTCTTCAGAAATGAAAGGTGTGCATCGACTGCCAGGCATGCACCCTCCCAGCTGAGACAGACCACTTTTATCTTTATACTGAATTCACATTCTTGTTATATATGTTATCATCATGTCCCAGTGCACAAAGGGACACTGGTTGGCATTCTCCGTGTCTTCAGCAGGGATCATGAGGAATCCGTGTGGGGTTTAAATGCCCCTGAAGCCGGTAACAGGCTCTAGCTGAGCAGGTCTCGAGAGTGCAGGCAGGACACCTCAGCTGCCATTCCCGTGTCCCTGGAGGTCTGAGGCCAGGACATGGATTTTACCACCCCGGCTCCACTAGCTAATCTGTTCTTCAGCCACACTGGCTACTTGTGCATAGGATTTTCTTTTTCTTGAATGGAGAATACTTTAGAAATAACAGACATTGTTATAAACTGTATGATAGTACTTAGCTGAGACAAAAGGGAGTTTTAATAGACAGTATTAAACTATATTTGAAAATCTGACAGTTTATGCAATTTAATATGTTTACAGACTACATTGCAATCTACTGTTTGTGATTAAGTATTAGGAAAAGTGTACATACAATCAGTCTTATTTCCTCACATAGTTCTTTTAAAAAGAAAAATATGTTTTTATATCTCAGTTTAAGTTGGAGACATATTTTGTGCAATATTTGTTAATGTGCCTCTACATTATGAATGGACTGGTTTAGTCATACATTGCCTAAATCATAACTTCACAACACTTGAGAAAAATGAGCAATTTAGTTAAAACTACACAAAATTCAGATGTCTGTGTTCCAAAATCCTTTACATCATTGGTTGTAGGGAGATATGCATGTGTGCTCCCTGGAGTGGGGGTTTCTGGTTATTAAGGCACCTCCTGTTATAGCACTTGGCATTGCTGTTGTATTTTTATAAATAGGACGTTAGTAGGAAAGCAATAACACCCTTCTACAAATGGGTAGCAGATTCACCTGCAGTCGCTGACAGAGGCTTTGCAAAGATGAATCCTTGTGAATTCAAGTGACTTTTCCAAATTCTGTGACTAACCGGTCTTACCTTTTATCTCCTGAGCTTTC